TATATATGGTATGAAATATAATATAGTAATATAATAAGAAGCAAGTTTTAATTTTTTTTTAAAGGAAATAAAAATCAGTGGGAGTGGATTATGTTGGAAAGGTTTCTTTTGAAAACTATAAATTATGGAATTATTAATATTTCGAAATCTATTACTTTAATGGATTAGCTAATACTATTTTTAAATTTATTTTTTAATTCAATAAATCTACACATTTATTACGAAATTTTGGAACTCTCATAATGCTCAATATAGTAATATAGTAAGAAGCAAGTTTTAATTTTTTTTAAAGGAAATAAAAATCAATAGGAGGGGATTACGTTGGATTAGTATGTTTGGTTTGATTTTGGAATAGTAGTTTTTGAAATAAAAAGTACGAAAACTTGTTTGGTTTGTCTTTTTTTAGAAATAGTTTTGGATAATTATTTTGGAGAGAGAGTTTTAAAAAAAGTGATTGATTTGATGTGTATGAGAGAGAGTGTGTGATTTTGGAAAGAAGTAAACCAAACAAATTTTTTAGATTTTTTTTGGAAAAATTTGTTTTGGTTTGATTACTCTTGAAAATTTGTTTGTAGAGAATTTTTTCCAAATTTTTTTCCCAAAATCAAACCAAATATTTGTTTTATCTTTCATTTTGAAAACTATAAATTACAGAATTATTAATATTTTGAAAACTATTACTTTAATGGATTAGCCAATATTTATTTTTTAATTCAATAAATCCACAAATTTATTATGAGGTTTTGAAACTTCCACAATACTCCTCACGAAAACCTTCTTTTGCTTATATAATACTAGCGGTAACCCGTGCGATGCACGGAAAAAATAAACTATATATATTTTGGGTGATAAATAAATCATTTTAATCTTAAATTACGTCTATACATAAAAAATTATTAATTATAAAAATTGTCGAGAATAATAGTATCACAATTAGTTAATAACATAAATAACTTGTATCAAACTAAACAAAACATTAAAAGAGAGAAATTCTATAAACTCAAAAAATTTATCATAAATTTACTTGGACTTTTAAATCAGTGGTGCATATTATTATTATGGGATCAAATTATGAATAAATATCAACTTTTAATTATACTTTATAAGTAGTTTTTTAAAATTTTTAATCTAAGTTTGTTGCCTTACTCATAAAAAGAACTTCTCAAACAAATCATTAATTGATTATGTTAGCAACTCTCTATCTTTGATTTCCTCTATCAATGACACACGCATATTATATCAAAGTATAAAGGACTTTTCTTAAGTGTGCAACTTACACCTTACACTTACGCTTTTCTGTTTGCTGTCCTGTTTTATGTTTACACCTTCCACTTACACTTTTTGTGTTGGTTGAATATGGTGTGCAACCTTAAGGGGTTGCACACCATAACAGGAGTATAAATCATTCTCTATAGTTTAAATAATACTTGCATACTTCCTACATCATTTTTAAAAAATTAATCAAGATAAGAATTTCGTAAGATTAAAAAAATTATAGAAAAAAATAGCTTTAATCCATTTTATTTATAAAAAAATGATGAAAATTTATTTGAATTGTACTTGAAGAAATATAACAAATAATAAATTTAATCATTATATATCAAAAAAATTTATATAGGTTACTCAACGAAAAAATGATCAAATACAAATAAAGTAATGGACATTGAATTAAATCATACGGGCTTTAAATTGATAGCATATCTAGCAAATCAACTAATAATAACATAGAGATATTGACAAATATGTAGTCCTTCCCTATCATCTTTGTATTATATTCATTAATTTCATATATCATATAAAAGTTTTACTCGTTTCGATCCTTCAATAAAATAAGGACCAAGAAAACAAATTTGATAAAAAATTGATTCTAAACTTTATTATTGCAAAAAATAAAAATTTCAAAAAGAGAATTTAGAGATATAATTGAATCAATACTATAACAAATGACATTCTTATAAAAAAATAAAATAAAATAACATAACAATGATCTAATGTAAACTATTTTTAATAACTAATAGAAAGAATATCAAATTATTACCTTGCATAAATATAGTGACGAAAATTAGTTTTGTGAGATTTTTGAGCTGCTTGATCCCATGCAGCCTTCATTATTTCATTAGTAATATTCTTCTTATTCAGAGTCAACCTATTTCATTATTAATACTTTGATCATTCAGAGCCAATAAATTTTTTTTTAAGCTTTATCACTTGGTAGATAATAACAAATAATAAAAATTATCAAGGGAATGTTAAGAATTTAATAGAAGATAAGAAGTTATAGATAAGGGCATTTCATAAGATAAAATTATCTAAAATGAAATTAATTAAAGTACAAAACAAAATGAAAAAAAAAGGAGTAATTACGTTTTTTTTTTTAAAATCAATTATTTAATCTTTATTTTTATTTGTAGGCCATGAAATTAATTTTTATAAGTTATTTATCAACTTTTATATTTTTATTTATGGGAAAAAATTAAATTATCTATAAGTTATGAAATTAATTTTTTTAAATTAATCGTTTAATTTTTATCTTTATCTGTAGACTATAAAATTAATTTTTAGTTTTTATATGTTTATCTATATGGAGGATTCTCATTCAAAGTCAACCAATTTCCTTACTAATAATCTTCTCATTCAGAGCCAATAATTTTTTTTTAATCTTTATCACTTGGTAGATAATAACGAATAATAAAAATTATCAAGAAATGGTTAAGAATTTAATAGGAGATAAGAAGTTATAGATAATGACATTTCATAAGATAACAAATTTAAAATAAAAAAAGATAATATGTGATAGAAGGAGAAAAAAAATACGAGTAAATCAAAATAAAGATTTTGATATATATGTTTTTGATAGATATATAGATTAACAAATCATATCTTTATCTAAATTTTATTATTTTAATTTTTTGTAAATCAATTATTTAATCTATATGGAGGATTCTCATTAAAAGTCAACCAATTTCATTATTAATAATCTTCTCATTCAAAGCTAATAATTTTTTTTTTTAATCTTTATCACTTGGTAGATAATAAACGAATGATAACAATCATCAAGAAATGGTTAAGAATTTAATAGAAGATAAGAAGTTATAGATAAGGGCATTTCATAAGATAAAAAATGGGCAAATTACAAACACCCCCTCGAGGTTTGATAAAAATACAGATTCTCCCCTGAGGTTTGAGAAATTACAAATTGCCCCCTGAGGGTCAAATTTTGATAAAATATTAGGAGAAATTAGGGGGAAATCTGTATGAAAATAAAACCTCATGGGGCAATTTGTTATGAAAATATAAACCTTAGCGGGCGGGATGTAATTTCTCAAACCTCAGGAGGAAATTTGTATTTTCACCAAACCTCGAGGGGGTGTTTGTAATTTGCCCATAAAAAATTTAAAATAAAAAAAGATAATATGTGATAGAAGGAGAAAAAAATATGAGTAAATCAAAATAAAGATTTAGATATATATGTTTTTGATAGATATATAGATTAACAAATCATATCTTTATCTAAATTTTATTATTTTAATTTTTTGTAAATCAATTATTTAATCTTTATCTTTATCTGTAGGCCATGAAATTAATCTTTATAAATTATTTATCAATTTTTATATGTTTATTTATCTATAAGTCATGAAATTAATTTTTTTAAATATTTTTTTTAATTTTTATCTTTATGTATAGGTCATGAAATAAATTTGCATAAATTATTTATGAATTTCTATATGTATATCTAAAATGAAATTAATTAAAGTATAAAATGAAAGGGGAAAAAAAGGAATAATTTCATTTTTTTAAAATCAATTATTTAATCTTTATCTTTATTTGTAGGCCATGAAATTAATTTTTATAAGTTATTTATCAACTTTTATATTTTTATTTATGGGAAAAAATTAAATTATCTATAAGTTATGAAATTAATTATTTAATTTTTATCTTTATCTGTATACCATGAAATTAATTTTCATAAATTATTTATCAGTTTTACATGTTTATCTATATGGAGGAATTTTGAAATTCAAATCTTTATCCATAAGCCCTGAAATTAATTTTCATTTTAATTAATCAAACAAATAGAAAATGGAGGAAAATAGAAAACACGAAAGACAATAAAAAATGGTTGCCACGTAGGAAAGAGATAATTTTAAAATTATGAGAATTTAGGAATGAATATTTACAGTTTTTTGACAAAATCACTACATTTGATTATATATATAGTATAGATATAGATAGATAGTTGATATGTGAAAGGGAATCAAATAAGGTTGCCACGTAGGAAAGAGAGTGTTTTAAAATTATGAGAATTTAGGAATAAATATTTGGAAACTTTTGACAAAATAACTATATTTAGTTATATATATAGTATAGATATAGATAGATAGTTGACATGATCCACATTTTTGGGCAACAATTTTGGACACAATCTAAGAAAATTATTAATTAAAAAGATAAAAATATAAAGAATAATATCACATGCACCAATTGGTATACTAATTAATATACTAACAGATGATATTATATAATTTTAGAGGTTTTGAATATTTATAATTTGTATAATGGGTGAGGTCATAGTATTGAAGTGGTAATATCATAACATATGTTGCTATACTAATTGATATACTAATTAGTGCATGTAGCACCATCGAAATAAAAAAAACACAAAGTTATGTTGTTAAACCCCCCTCGACATGGGTAATTAATCTATCTGTTTGTTACTTTTGTCCAAGTTATTGTGGATTTATTTTGGTAATTTAAATTATTCATTTTATATATCTAATACTTGTAAATTATCATTGAAAAATATATTATTGATTAATAATTATAGACAGACAATTGCATCATATTTATTTTTTAAACTAAATAATTTATTTATAAACAATAATTATCATTTATTTTAAAAAAAAATCATATATAAGAAATTTATATGATTGCAATTATTTATTAAATTAATTTCATTTTTGTATTATAAAAAAAAAACTATTCAAATTGTTAATTAAAATGGAGCTGCATAGTTTGGGCCAAATACCCAAAACTAAACCGACCCAGTCAGTCCATGCTCTACGACATAGTTCTGAGCATACAGCTCCATCGCTCAACCATTGCAATCCCTTTCCCAGGTCTCATCAATCTCTATCTCTGTATATGAATTTGAGTTTCTATGTACTGAATTTGTATACAATTTTTACATTCAAGATGATGTATTTGTTATTTTGAAACTAGGGTTTTTAATTGTCTTAGTTGAACTTATGGTAGTCATCTAGTTTTGAAATGAAATGGATCTCTGATAGCATTGTATAGTGATTTGCCTTAGCTTGAATACTATATTTTTTTGTTCAATTATTACATAAACACAATTAAGCAGATCATGTTTTCATGGGACACCAAAGTGTATGCTGCCTTAACATTTTTTTACTAAATCTGATGCTTGCAGTTGTTGACTACCTTAATGGACTGGGCTTTTGTACATAAAGTTTGGGACAAGTGGGCATCTACCTGTATTGGTTCTTCTGGTGAGCAATCTGAAGTTGTTTATGCAATCCCTCTCACTGTGTTATTGTTTTTCATGTCATTTATGGGTAAATAGGTGAGAAGCATTTTATAACTTGTAGGTCAACCGTTGAAGGCTGCTTTGCTTATTAACCATGACCCAACTGCACCCTCTCGCCTGTTGTCCACCATGTAAGGAAATTTTGAGTATTCTATGTTTCCTATCTGGTGTTCAAGTGTATATGTGTTTGAGTTTTTTGGTTTTTCTCCACTTTTTTGTTTTGGCTATCTTGCATTTCATCAAATTTATGGGACATGAGAATTTGATGAATCTGACACTTTAGACACAATAACACCCGTACGAAGTTGATGTAACATAGGGACCTAGCTTTTTGTTGTAGCTAATATACTTTGAAATCCATTAACTTATCTATGTAGTTACCAAGATCAAAATTTATGAGAAAAAGAAACAGGAAGGTTTTGTTTTGTCATAAAGTATCAAAATGCGTTTCTTGTTGTTTGGTTTACATGCAAACTATATCCAAGACTTTAATCGTTTGGCAGAGATAAGTAACAAATTCGTTGACTTGAAGTCATTTTACATTCTACATAAAGTACTTTTGATTTGACTCCATATTCACCCTGTCGGGTGAATTTTTGTTTTGAAAACATCTTTGCTATTAAAACTTTGTTCTTGTTCTTGTTCATATTCTAACCTTTCTCTCCACTGCTTAGCATCTCTTTTGCCACCTTGTCCTCTTTCTTTTGTAGCAGCTCTATTGTCCTCCACTGCTTGCAACGTAAACACCCATTTCATTGAAGCAATAAGATAGGATCACTTTCTTCATTTATAACGAAACTGTTTAACATTCTAAAATTCAGCTATAGCTGTCTGTTTTTGTTGCCTATGTTACATGGACTGTGAGTAGAGGCACAAGTTACAAGTTTTTGTCCAATATGTGGAATGGTGATTTTAGTATGTATGCATGGACAAGTTGGCTTCCTTCCTTTATTTATGCCAATAGCACAAGCATTCAACTATTGGAAAAGAAACATAAAACTGCAAAGATTATGTTGTTAAATGCAATACAAAATGGCTTTCCAGAATTATCCTAGATTTTCCCCCAAGACCGAAAAAATTTGTGCGCATATGTATAGATATGAAGATGTGTATATATAGATAAATATACACATACATCTAGGTACATTTAAAAATAAAAATAAAAATACACATACATCTAGGCAGAGAATGTTACTGCCAACTATTTTAAGTCTATATATTTCCGGGATTAACTATACTAATGACTTCTCAGTGCTAGGTTTGTGTGTAAATCTATGTACTAGCCCATTTTTGGTAGAATTACATTTGAAATTTTGCACACAGATGTGGAGCAAGATTATTTGATGTTCCTTTCATCTGCAATTCTGTGCAGTAGCATTTTCAAATGAGTTTGTAATCTTTATGTATCATGGGAGAAAAAGATCACATGCTAGCTGGTTTCATTTATTAAGATAAAAAAATTAGTCACGAGAAACAATTTTTATTCCTGGTGCTTGTGTTTCATTAATTTGTCCTACTAAGGGCATAGGCTTAATATCGGTGCTTACAGTGCAGAACAAGAAGGGATAAATGCAAATCCTATTGAACTGAGCCAATTTGTCGATTTCATCAAACGCTACAAACTCCAATCTGAGAGCTTCTTCATTGGGCTAAACCAATGTGAGTTGATACTGTGGCTGCAACACAATTCTAGAGATGATGCTAAACTATGAAAAAAAATACCAAGTAGTATGTCGTTTCTCAGAATTAGATTTCCATACTCTATTCATGCTGAAACCATTGCAATCTAATACTCTGAATATTGCATTTCAGCTTCTGGTCAATTTCAATTACTTTTTGTGGGGGACCTTATTTTTTAAAATTAATTACTCATCCAATGTCAAATTTAATTATACATTTACAATAGATATTTGGTTTGAGTCCCAAGTGCAATAATTTTGTGTAAAACTGCTTTTTGTCCAGAGATATCAAAATGATTTTTCAGTACTGGGTAGAATCTGCAGAGTAAGAAATGTATTTACTTTGTGTTGACCATAGAAGCATATAGAGACATTCCTCTTGAAAATTCTGACCCAACAATCCCAATCAGAAACCATTGATTGTTTGCTATTTGTATAGTTATTCCAGCTCTAATTTGTGGTTCTCTGTCCAATTGTGCAATATGCAATTATTCGAAGGTTTGAAATATACAGTAAGGGATAGGAACTACTGTTAGCAAATGCCAACGTGAATTAATCTCTTTTTTCATAAGGCATTTGCTTGTCCCATAAAATATTTAGTTATTCCGTTGATAATTCTGTTTGACTGAAGTTTATTGTACCGAATTTCGGTGGCAGATGTTGTCACATCAATTCATGAGAATTGGTTTTCTGCAAGGTGCATGAACACTTCAAAACCTGCTGGTGAAGGTGCTATAGTAATGCATACAGCAGCATTTCTCTTGGTTGCGTTGTAAGTATTTTTTTATCATTTTAACATGAATTCAGACTCATGTGACAAGCCAAGCCCCAAAAGGACTAAATACTGCATTTTTTTTTGGCTGGGCCTGAAATACTACATTTAGAAGCCCATTTCATGTTCAGCTAACAGTACAACTTTAGATTGTGCCTTGCATTTATAATAATGGGGAACTTGGTAGCCAATTTGTTAAGTTCTTTATTTTCCGACTTGTTATTGAACTTTTGTAGATATGATGGTTCTATTGGCTCGGCATCTCGTGCTATGGTGGTGGTTGATCAGTTTGCATGGCAGTTGGGTCGAAAAAACCTTTGACATTTGACCTCATTGCATCATGGTACTTTAACTTTGTAGCATCTATGTAGTGCTCCTCTTGCGTGTTTTATTGGACTATTTTGTTATCTATTCAATGTTATGTATGCAGGTGCGTTGTGCTACAAATTGATTACTCTGGTGCAAACCAAGTTCGTAGCAAGCAGACTTCATCAATGTACAGAATTCAAGTGAACCTGGTCTTCTTGTGAAATGGATGAAGAGGGTTGTTCAATAACCATTATGGAATTTGATGACATTGTTAGTTTAGTTCTCCTTGGACTCTGTTTAATTCTACTGGAATTTTTCTGCTACCTCATTGATGTTTTATTGTGATCAATTCTCTTGATAATATTTGTTGTGGCATTAGGAGATCTCTGGAAGCATGGCTTTTAACAGGTAAGGTTTCCACTTTTGCATTTTTGAATGAGCCAACAGTAATGTTACACTTATACATCAAGAACTCACACACACAAAAATGGGGTCCAAATTTAACACCCCATACGGTTTGTCTTGTTTGTGATTGAGTTCTTGATCTATAGCATTACAAGCCAAATATACTTGATATCGGTTATCCCAAGATTAGAGAGAGAGAGAGAGAGAGAGTGAGAAGTGAAGATTAAGAAAATGGGGCAGGTTTTGACCAAAGATTTAAGTTTAGTTCTGCTTACTATTTTATGGTGACTACAAGTTTTTTAAGTCTCTTTGATACTAGCAACGGTTGATCGTTGACGTCATCCATAAATTGTTGCCTACCCCTTGTGTCATTTGCTTGAAGATGTAGGAGATGAGCCTATCTTGTCTTGACTATCAGAGTAGTCAACTTATTTATTTATTTATATTATTATTATTATTATTATGTATCTCAATTACAATAGAATGAAATGAACCATTAATTATGGTATGAATTACAGTTACATATAAAAATCAAAGGTATTTCAATGTATCTCAATTACAATAGAATGAAATGAACCATTAATTATGGTATGAATTACAGTTACATATAAAAATCAAAGGAACCGTGTTGAGTAATCTCCCCAATGGATTAATCCCTTAAACTGTAATACTCTGTGGGTGTTTGAGAAATTGTTATTTTAGTTTTTAGTTATTTTAAGAGGATAAAATTTTTGTGCTTGTGAAGATAATTGGATTTTTTTATAGTTGGATGTGATGTTTATGTGAAAAAAAATGAAATAATTATGGATTTGATGTGATATTTTGTCTTATTGGTTATTTTAGTTTATTTTGTCTTTTAGTGTTATTTTAGCCAAAAAAAAAACTTTTTTCTATTTGGTTGATTGGAATGAGATGAAATGGACTTTTCTATGAAATGATCATTCTCTTAGCATGGCGAATGGTAATTTTATTTGTAATTTATTTTTTAATCAACTAAATCTAAAAATTTAAAAAAAAAAATGGTAAAAATGGATAGAATGATGATTCAATTTTACTCGTTCCAATGAATTAAACCTAAATATTTTTGTGATTCATCTTTAAAATATTGGTTTGGGAAGTGCTATTTGCATTTCTTTTTTTCTTTTTTTTTTTAGTCAGGTGCACTTTCCTTTTTGTTTTATTTTCAATTTATTTTAATTACATTAGAATAATGCTTATGTCATTTACATGACGTTTGAAGTTGAGAACACAATGAAAAGAAAAGGCTCATTAATAAAGGTAAATGGATAAAATGAAGTGTAGTTTGACAAAAATTAACTCTATTTTTTTTTTATATTATAAATGATTGATGTATTCATATATATATATATATATATATGAGTAATGATTCATCCTCCCTTTTCTCCCACCCCCTTTGACAAACAAAATAGGCTATTTTAGTCATAACAAACAAAACATCACATCCAACTTATAATCATTACATTCTTCTCTCACAAAAAAAGTCAAAAAGTCCTTCCCAAACCAAGCTTTTTAGCCCAGGCTAAAATAGTTAAAAAAGTCAAAAAGCCAACCTACTTACCAAACCAAGCCTCTATTTGGTTGATTGGAATGAGATGAAATGGACTTCTCTATGAAATGATCATTCTCTTAGCATGACGAATGATAATTTTATTTGTAATTTATTTTCTAATCAACTAAATCTAAAAATTAAAAAAAAATCTTAAAAATTGATAGAATGATGATTCAATTTTACTCATTCCAATGAATCAAACCTAAATATTTTTGTGATTCATCTTTAAAATATTGGTTTGGGAAGTGCTATTTGCATTTCTTTTTTTTTTTTATTTTATTTTATTCAGGTGTACTTTACTTTTTGTTTTGTTTTATTTTCAATTTATTTTAATTACATTAGAATAATGCTATGTCATTTACATGACGTTTGAAGTTGAGAACACAATGAAAAGAAAAGGCTCATTAATAAAGGTAAATGGATAAAATGAAGTGTAGTTTGACAAAAATAACTCTATTTTTTTTTTTATATTATAAATGATTGATGTATATATATTTTTTTCATAATACCTATCCTTGCATGTACATAAAAGAAAGGGAAAATCACACATCAGGCTACCTTTTCAAAAAAAAAAAAAAATTCAAATCAATTTTTTTTCTATATAAATTTATAATGTAAAAACCCTTCTGGTGTGTAATTTTTCCTAAAAAGAAAATATAGGACAAATGAAAATATGAGGAAATATATATTTTTTATTCGATTTTTTCATTATAAGACACAAATGTCTTGAAAATGACACTATTTGGGAATAAGTTAAAAAGGTCAAAATTTACTTTTAACTCATTTTGGATCACATTACTTTTCATATAAAAAAGTCAAAAAAAAAATTAAAAAAATTAAAAAAGGTAAACTTTTAACCAATTTTAACTTATTATAATTATGATTGGTGATTAGAAAATATGTTATTATTGAGTACATAATTACATGGTGAGTCACACATCCCAAATATTTGTAGGTTAAAAAGTTAGCTTAGTCTAATACAAATAATATTAAAAAATAGTATTATAAAAAAATGAAAATTTCATTAAATATTTTAATCACTAAATAAAAAATAGCGAAACCTTCGTTTCTAACACCTTATTTGGTAATGACTTGCGTAGTTACATTTTTGACGATTTCAACCACCTTGTTGGGTAATGACTTGCAAAGTCACATTTTGGACGATTTCAACTGCACAAATTTTAACAACCATTTTTTATTATAATTTTTTTTTTATTTTTTGGCAAAAACATTGGCCAAACTCTAATGGCGTGGTTAGTGATAAAAAATAAAATAAAATTACGTACAATATTTCATTATTATAAGAAGACTAGACGACTGATATGGAGAGTTGATTTATGGTGTGACATTTGTTTACACCCAGATATTTTCTAGCTCATTTTCCATGAAATTTCCCTGTAATTTTCTTGTTGTCAATCAAGAAGAAAAGAGTTTATTTAAGAGGGGGAGACATACCCTCTGTTTCCATTCCCTCCAAAACCATCTCTCTCTTTCTCTACGTAAATTCTGTGCCATCCATGCACCCTTCCGCTCCACCGTACAATGATCATCATCACAACTACGCTCCTCCCTCTCCATTTCCTTACTTCGCCGCTAGTCCCAATCACAGTCATGGACCCAATCCAAATCCCCTTTACTCTACTACTGAGTATGGGTATCCAAATCCATACAACCATCATCTAGGTCCAGGCTCTTCACTACCACCTATATATATAGGTTCGTGCCATGTTAATATTAATGTCGGAGAACCTTTGGTCGCAGAGAGGTATGATAATGGTGGCGACAGTAGTGGTGGTAATGGTAAGAGCCGACCTAAGTTGGATTTAGATGGGTGCCAACAACTGGATAGTGGGATGTCTTACGATGATCATAGTGGTTATGATTCACGTGATGGTGCTTTTTATGCTAATTCGAAGGTACGAGTAATTATTAAGTCTTTTAGAAATTTTATGTTGGTGATATGCCCAATTAATAATAGAAAGTCTAATAATTGCAAAGACCTACAAATAAGAAAATAGTGGAGGAATGACAATATACTATTGGATGGGCATATAGCCATGCAATCTTCCTGATTCGCATGATAATTTTTGATAAGGTACAACCAAAATATTTAAAAGTTTTCTTTAGAGGGAAAAAAATGGAGAAATTATGTAAAAAATTCTAAGGTTTGACACTTAAATCTCGAATTTTTAATTTTGTCAATTTAAATTTTTAATTTGTTTTTAATTTAAATCATTTGTCTATTTACGTTAAATAAAATTGATGAAAAAAATAATATTTTATTTATTAAACTCAATAAAAAATGATGTTTTAAACATTTTATGTACACCTATATTGAGTTTAATGATTAAAGTATTATTTTTCTGTCAGTTTTACTTAACAAAAACAAACTAATGATTTAAATTGAAAATAAATAAAAAATATTAAGTTTTAAATTGATAAAATTAAAAACTCATGACTTATTTTTGTTATAAGACTTAAACTCTAAAGTTTTTATTTTTTTTAACTAATTTTTCCATGAAAATTTGAAATAATTTTCTGTGGTGTTCTTATGCAGACATGGAGGGTGGAGAAAGCATCTTCCACATTTTTTTATTTTTTATTTTTTGAACCATTGTTGGCTTTTGTGTTGCAGAAAGTAGTATTGAAATTAGCTATAAATGACGACAAAGCCAAGAAAAAGGTTATAGAAACAGTTTCCAAACTTGCTGGTATTCTTCTTTCCACACTCCCACTTAAGTACTGCATGAAAAGGAACATTTTTGACGACAAAATTTTTAGTCATCAATGATGAGAATTTTATTACCATAAATTTTTTGTGACAGAAAATGATTTTCAGCAACAAAAACATCAGCCAGTTGCAGAAAGTGATCGCCAAAAATGCTCTTTTTCCACTGGTGTACGTATATGACTGTGTTTTGCAACTGGTAACTTCTCTTTTGGTAGGAATTGAATCAATTGCTGTGGACATGAAGGAGAATAAATTAACGGTGATCGGCGATGTTGATCTAGTTACGCTAGTCAAAAAATTGCGCAAATTATGCCACACAGAGGTACTAATGGGCTGTTTCAATTGATAGGTTTGGAGAGAAAGGGGAAAAATAAATAAATTTAAATAAGTTTCTCTTATTGTTAGAGAAAATGAAAATAAATAGAGGGAAATTGGTTTCTCTTAAAATTTATTTTTGGGTGAATTACATTAACGATCTCTATAGTTTGGGGTTTGTGTCACTTTGGTTTTTTAATTGTGACACATTTGACCTTGAATTTTGAATCTTATTCCAAATAAGAACAATTGAAAATACTATTGGATTTTTCAAGAGTAAAATCATCAATTTGATAAAATATAAATTAATTTGACAAAAATAAATCTCAAAAAATTATTTCTACCTGCTAAAGATAAAATTATATAAAATTGGAAAATCTTTTAGATATTTATTTATTTATTTGTTTACCAAATTAATTTTTACTATATATTTGGATGATGATCATGTAAAATTAATTTTTAAAAATTAATCATGTAATTTTTGTCAATTTTACATAATTTTACTATTTTTAAAATTTTTAAAATATTTTTTTGACATTTATTTTTGTCAAATTAGTTTATATTTTATCAAATTAATGATTTTGCCCTTAAAATTAAGCAATGGTACGTTCAATTGTTCTTATTTGAAACAAGATTCAAAATTCATAGTTAAATATGTCGCAATTGAAAAGTCATGAATTAAAGTGACACGAGCCCAAACTATAAAGACTGTTAGTGTAATTTGCCCTTTATTTTTTAAATTTCTGCAAAAGTAAACAGATTGGGAGAGGAAATAAAATGAAGTGATTACCAATTTTTTATAATATCAAAATTGTTTATCTAAATACTAAAAATATAAAAACATAAAAGATTACTTTGATAATTAATATAAGCTGTAAACATATTTTTTCTCTTCTTTGATGCAGATACTTTTTTTCTTTTTCTTTCTCTCCAACTTTTAATCAAATAAGAAGAAGAAAAAAAAAATACAATATTATATTTTCTTGTAACTTTTTCTTCGCTCTTGAATAATTCATTTCTTATCTTTTCTTTCATTGATTTTCTAACAGACTGTAAGTGTCGGGCCCGCCAAAGAACTTGAAAAGAAGAATGGTAAGCCTAAAAAAGATGAGGGGAAAAAGTTTGAAGAGCCTAAAAAAGATGGAGGTAGAAGAAAGGATGAGGAAGAGGGGAAGAAAATAGCAGAGCTTGTGAGTGCTTACAATCCTCAAATAGCACAGTACTACTATGTTGATAATAAAGAGGAGAATCCAGAAGGTTGTGTTATTTGTTAATTTTATGATTGACAAAACAAATAGTTTGGACCCTTTTGTTGATTGCTATAATGGATTTTGAGTCATGTTTAAATCTCATGTGAGGTGAGGAATTAAATAAATAAATCAGTGGGGTCAGCGTGTAATTCTATGTATATAGTTTGGTTGGGTTGGGTTCTTTGATCTTTGTGATATACGCAATACAATATGCAGACAGAATAAATATATTTTCCAAGTTAGTTAATAGCAAGTGGTCAATTGGTATGGCTGAATTGTGCTCAAAAGATAGAAGCAAAATCACTTTGTAGATAAGCTGTTGTTTGTTTCCATCATTGTAATATGGGTTTGAATTTTGGACTTGTGGTTAGTAATATAAAATAATAATAAATAAAAAAAAAGCAAAAAAACTAGTCAATGTGTTTGGTTTGAGTTTTTTGGATTAAGTTTTTTGAAAATTCAGTTTTTTAGTTTTCGTGTTTTTTTTGTTTTTAGTGAATATTTTAAAAAATTTAAACATTTTTTTTACCTTTTTAGATGCACTTTACTTAGATGTATCTAAAAAGTAAAAAATTTATGAAAAAATATTTAAAAAATTTAATAAATACATAAAAATATAAAAAATATACTGAATTCTCGTATTTTTTTTTATATTTTTGGTATTTAGTGAATTTTTAAAAAGTTTTTTTCACAATTTTTTTAATTTTTAGGTATATTTATGTTAGGTATGTCTAAAAAGTAAAAAAATTGGCTTAAAATATTAAAAAAATTCAATAAAACCAAAAAAAATACGGAAGACAAGAAAATAGAATTTTCTAAAAAGTATTTTAGAAAAGTGTAATTTTTATTTCACTCATTTTTTTTTCTCTCTTCTTTTCTTTCATTTAAATTTAACTTCTTTTTTGTAAAAGATTATTTCTACAATTTTTTTTAACTAATATAGGACCTAACTACAATCTAAAAGTATTTGAGCATAAATAACATAAGAGATGTTCAAAAGTTAAGTAAGATAAGAGAATCGTTCAGATACTATAGAAAAGAATGAGAGAGCTCATACGTTTCTATTATTGTAATATTGCATTTCAATTTTGGATTTGTAGATGGAAAAGAAATAGAGTAATGATTCATCTCCCTTTTCCCCTCACCCCCTTTGACCCCCTCTCTCTCTCATTGGTTACCTTTTCTTTTTCTTTTTCTTTTTTTTCCTGCTCCTCCAATCACCACCTGCCACATGGCAAAGGGGGGGTGAGGGGGTGACCCCCAAAAGAGGGTCCCAAGCATTATTCAAAGAGATATTAAAAAAAAAATTGAGGATCAAAATATAATCTAAAGTATTTGAGTATAAACATGCTATTTTTGTTTTCGGGGTTGGATTTGACAATTCACAATTTTTTTTTTTTAATAAAAAAAACGCTTCAAAGGAACATTGTTTTGTTTTACTTTTCCTTTCAAATGGTTAAATTATCATAATGAAATTATTATTAAAAAATCTTCATCGAATTAACATGTTTGATCTAAGACCCACCATCGTAACATCTTTGTCATAAATTATCACAAAGCACTGTTAGTGCATGTGATTATACGCTTGTTCAATAATATTTTGTAATTTATTTATAATTTTTAAAAAAAAAATTCATATCAGGTAAGTATTTAATCTTTATTTTGGGTTGAGCACGCCGTCAAGCAATATTTCCAAAATACAATAATGTCATTACTCCAATTTCGTATATATTTTGGTTTTCTTTGGGAAGTTAGTTATTTTATTTTTTTACTATTTTAATTTGATTAAAAAAGTTATGTTTAAAAAGTTAGTTATTATTTATTTATTTATTTATTTTGATAGTTGATTTGATGATTATAAGAGAAAATATAAAATAATTATAAATTAAATATGATATTTTGTCTTATTAATTATTTTAAACTAATTCTCTTTTCAAGCATGGCCGATGCCTTTTCGTTTTTTAAAAGACAAACCAAAAATACACATGGGGTGTTTGAAAATTAATTTCTTTCAAATTTTATCAACTTTTTAAAATTTAATTAACTATTTTATGGGAGACTGACCCAAAGGTCCAAGCCCAACATATCATACCCCATTTAGACCCAAAACAAATTTAATACTCCATTAAGTCCTCAAATTAACAATAAGACGAAAATACCCACAATATATCATCCAATTTACACGCGCGCAACCATCTCCCACGTCCCCATCATCTCAGTCCGATCACTACACTGTCACGTCTCCGCCGCTCGAAATCGACTCCTCAGTCCTCCATCTCTCTTCCGTTCAACTCCATCCCCTCTGAAACCCTAACCCTAACCAGAAAACGTAACCGTTCACTTCATCACCCACAATCATCTCAGTCTGATCAGTACACTGTTACATCTCCGCCGCTCGAAATCGCATTCTCAATCCTCCATCTCTCCTCCGTTCGACTCCATTCTCTCTGAAACCCTAGTCATTTAAAAATACGAAAATAAAAAACGGGACCTCTGGGTATAAAACTAAAAAAACTGTGGACCTATTAAACTATTAAAAATAAATTGAAATTAGAAGGGAAATAGATCCCCTACATAAGACTACATGGTAATTTTCTCCTATTTTATTCCCACTCCAAACACCACCTCAGCGCAGTCCAATCCAGTCCAGGCTATTATTTCGAACATTGACAGGACCAAGGAGAGGGTGGCCCAACCTGGTCCAGTCCAAATCATATCCATGGAAACGATCCGAGTCCGACCCGAAAAATTGCCACCTCATCAAAAGCCAAAAAAAAAAAAACAATTTGAATTGAATTTTCCAATGATATATAATATATAATCATTTGATTTACAAATATCCCCAAAATACAGGCATAGAAAACGCCATGTTCTTGTAAGATGTCCCTTTTCCTATTCAAATACACTCCACACAACCACAACACACACACAGTCTCCCATATTTTCTTTCTTTTCTTTGCTCAAAAGCAACACTTCTTTCAAACCCACCCCTCCTCTCTCTCTCTCTCTCTCAACCCAATTCCACATTCTCTCTCCTCCCCAAAATCCCTATCAGATCCCTTTCCTTTCTATGTTGAAATGGAGGCAATGCAGTAGCTTTTGGATCTAGAATTGGGTTTTTTCTCTGGTTGGTCATGTGAAGATTGGTGGGTCTTTGAAGCCGTTGGTGTTGGGTTGAGATGGGATCGAGCAGTAGCAAACCCAATGCTGCTGAGTCCTCGTCTTCATCGTCTTCTAAAATTCGTCGGAGTCGATCCAGAGGAAGCAGAGTGTTCCAATCTTCGTGTCTTACACCCTCGTCTGGATCTCAAGACAGTGACAATGATGAGCAGGTCACTTTATCAAACCCCATTCAATTCTATGCATATGGAAAGTTTATACCTTTTTTGATCTATTACATTGTGTGTGTAGCTTTTTCTTTTCTGGGTATGTATGGTTTGATGATTTAACTGCATTGAGATTGGGACTGAGTCATTGGTGTGGAAGACAAACTTGAAAATGTTCAGTTTTCATTTGCTTAGTATTTGAAGAACAACAGAAAGGAGCACATAAAATACAGAGGTTTATTTGATCAAAAATTCAGTGGCAAAATCGAAAATTTGGCTTGTCTACTGATTTATATGCTTAAGATTGGCTTTTGCCAAGTTGGGATGTGTGCCATGAATGAAACCCAAGTTAGGTATATATGATCATTCATTGAGTTACAATATTCTGGCTTCAAGCTTGGAAGGGGAAAAAAAATATATTTTGTGGTTTGATATGTATGTGATGAACCATAAACTAGCTTTACATAGGGTTTATCGCATAACCTATAGTAATTAGTTATACATGTAACATCTTAATCATCGCTTCATAGGGCACCAAGGACAAGTTTTAATTTCTAATTATTATAGTTGGTTCATTGCATAACATATTGTAGTTGGTTATCCGTCTTTATCATAGCATTGCCCATAGGGCACCAAGGAACAATTTTTAATTATATTTCAAATGTAATTATTATCATTTTTATTAGTTTTGATAGTTATAAATCACTAAATTTTTCATAGAATAGAATAGAACAGACGTTGATCAATTTGGCGTGTACTGTCTGTTTGCATATTTTACAGTTTCTTACTTTCACATTTCTGCCTGTGCCAATGAAGTCTGTAAATGGGAAGGTGCGGCCTCTATTCATTTGGACTCACTCAATGATCAGATAATATTTTGTCTCGGTTTCTTTTAATTGCCCCCAAAACCTTACCTTGTGAGTGTAGCGGGCTTGTAACTAAAATATCAGTGAAACAAGACTAATAACTTGTCCAGTTTCAGTCCTTGTGCTTGAAAATTACTTGGTAAAGGAAATTGTCTGCTGGACAGAGTGCCATCACATACCTATAGCTCTACAAAGATATCTCCAAGACATAACTTTGATTGTTGAGATAAATTTAGTCAAACAAATATGCATATATCTGGTGATTAATGCATAGACCTACCCATCTCTCCTGTGTATAACTCCTCATTCTCCTCTCTTCTGTTAACTATCAAATACTGATCCACTGCGTCCTTGACCATGCTAAATCCTAAAACTCCTCTTGATTCAGACATCTTGAAGTGTTCATATTTATTTTGCATTTATTAACTAGTGCGATGAAAAGGTTTATTAAGCCTGGGCGCTGCCTTGAGTGACTAGCTAAACCTGTGTCAACACTGTGAAATTTGAAGTGGAATGATCTATTTTTCATTTGGTTGCAAAGCATGCATAACATGATCTGTAAATGCGTTTTTTAGAAAGTAAAACTGATATCAGTCAACCTACACATTTTTTTGTGTACCATCTTGCAATTAGAATAGATGTGTTTGAACCATCATCTATTTTAGTATATAGAGTCTGCACTAATGTGGGATTAATTCTTCAATAATTAAATTGATATCTAATTCATGTTTTAGGTTTCTGATCATCATAATAAAGAAAATGGTTGTAACGACCTAATTGCCAACCAGATTAAATCAGACTCAGATCAAGTGAAAGCTGAATGTTACAGTAAAGTTAAAGCTGACCAACCTGATGAAAGAGCCTGTATATCTTCTAGCACTGAGCTTGATGAGTTGGGTCAACCAAACCTTTCAGATACTGTCTCTAGAGCAGTTGGTAGTTCTTCCAGAGCTTCCTCTACTCGGTCATTGAGCCCTTCAAATCACTTTCTTTCTCGCTTCAGCTTGTGCCCTGGTAATGCAAGCTTCAGGCTAAGCAGAGCAACAAGTGTAGGGTCATCAAGGGCTTATCCTGGAGTATCGACAAATTTCACGATTTCAAATGAAGAGGGAGAGCTTCATCGACACACAGGTCCTGCCCGTGGCTCGGTCAACAGAAATGGATCTTCACGAGGTCGAGACTTCTTGCCTGCATGCCTTATGAATAGGTCACCCTCTCCACAGTACGAAGACTTCGCTTCTCGTAGCTTAGAGTCAAATCCTACAAATGGATTTTCTGATAATTTGATAGCCAATCAGCTAAATGTGGCCAGCGAGGTCAATAATCCTAGAGTTGATTTCAATGTAAATTTGCGTTCTCAAAGAAACCATACTGATATAGAGATTATGGAGACAAGACTTACTGATAGACAGATTGGAGCTCGAGAACCTGTGGAACGGAATGTTCGCTTCAGTAGAACCTTAAGTGTTGGAAGACTCCGTGACAGAGTTCTTCGGAGATCATCATTTCCTGACTTGCCATTTTCTCCTTTGCAACAAGAGAGGGAAGTAAGAGATGCTATTCAGCGTGGTGGAACAAGGGTATCAGCATCCATTGAGAACGCCTTGATCTCATCCACTTCTTCTGTTTTTACTTCATCTGGCATGCCTAGCTCATTATACACTAGTCAAGATTATGAAATGGAAACCACGCATGCAGGAGAAGCGAGATATCATGATCTCTTGGAACATAGATCAAATTTCCTAGAACGGAGACGAAGAATACGATCTCAGGTTTGTATATTTTTTGCACTGACAAATTATTGACAGATATTAATTATTAAAGGTAATTTGTTTGATAATAGAATGCAAAAAAATAAAAAATAAAAAATAAAAAATAAATAAAGAGATCTTAGAGTGGAATATTTCTGCTTATATTGATAGACTTGCAACTATTTTTACCCTGCATAGCCAGATCTTTTGTTAAGGATGCACGGCTTTTTAAGCCTTTCCATTTCGCCAATTTTGCTGTCTAGAACATTAGTCTGCCAAAATATCAACCTTATGCTAAGTTTGGTTAATTGGAATGAGTTGGAATGAAATGATTATTCCATTAGAATATTCATTCTCAAGTTTGGTTCACTAAAAAAATTATGAAAAATACATTGCAAATGGAATCATCATTTCTCATTGTAAGGGAATGGTCATTCCATAAGGAGGTTAAGGAATGATTATTCCATTCCAATCCATGTTCATTTAAGTGAACCAAACGCTACCTAATTGTTTATATATGATATTTGATCTTTGTTTTACCCTTTGAGGGGGACTCATCCTGCATTGTATTTAACTTCTCAGCTATAGCTTTACCATCCGTTGAGTTGTGCTAAGGTGTCTTCTAGTGACCAGTATTTCTGAGCCAGTGTGTGTCTTCTTATGACCAGTATTTCTGAGCCAGTGTGTGTCTAGTTTCGTGTTTTCTTGATGTAACATTTTATAAATGAATGACAAACTTTAGGTCCGTGCTCTTCAGCGGTTGGGCAGCCGTTTCGAGAACCTGTCTGGACATGAGAGGTCTTGCATCATATCTGGTCAACATCGGACAGGTCATTGTGCATGTCATATTAGGAATCGAGATGTTAATTCAAATGATGACACCGGTGCTAGGGCTAGCATATCGAGAATTGTCATGTTAGCTGAAGCTTTGTTTGAGGTAATTTTGCCTGTTATGAGGATGACACTTCCAATATTCTCATTTTGCATTATTTTATACAAGTTGAATCTTTTATACATATCTTAATTAGGTTCTGGATGAAATTCACCAGCAATCTGTAGTTTTATCTTCTCGGCCTTCTGTGTCTTCAATTGGATCTGTGCCTGCACCTAACGAAGTTGTGGAATCTCTGCCTACAAAATTGTATAGTAAATCCCAAAAGCATCTGAATGAGGAGGCTGCACAGTAAGTATTCATGTTTCACTTTTATTTGATGATTTTCAGCTTACTATGAAGAATTCAAATGGAAGTGGTTCATTCTTCATTTCAATACGAAAACTTTTTTAACAGATCGCGACTGCTAGTTTGCTCTGAAATTATCTTTTTTCCTGCTGTCATAAATCATAGGTGGTCCTGTTGGAAGTGTGCTAGTGTGAATTCATGTAGCTAATTTATTTTCTCGCATTATTTTGTGAAGTTAAAAGAAAACAAAGTTTTTTCTAGTCAAAGTACCAAGATGTTGGCTTGTGTGAGCAATGGGGAAGTCTAGTTCCTTGGTCCTGGACAAGACAAAGGATCAGATGTAGGGCCAAGGCATGAGGGGAATGTTGAAAACATATGTTCCTCAATGCAAGGAATATCAGACCCATAGGAGAGTCAAAAACTTTAGTTTAAGCTTATTTGAGTGGCTTCGTGATAAATTGAGAGTTGGTTGTGCGTGGAAATCACGTAACTGAAGAGCAGAAGTTGCCCAAAAACCCACTAAGCAGAAATGAATTTGATAATAGTTTAGTTATTGAATCCTTGGCTTTTTTTCCCTGTTATTTTTTTTTTTTTTTTGCGGGTGCGTATGTAAAGCATGAAAAAAAATTTATATGAGCAGGAAAGGAATGCTCAAATATGCTATCTCTATGACGACATAAATGCTTGGTATCTGTTCGCCACCCTCCCCTCCCCCAATTTTCTCTCTTGGTTAGATTTACTTTCCTCCAAATTTGACTAGATTATTCACCATTTAACTTTGGGTAATCCGTTGCTTTAACAGATGTTACATATGCCTTGTTGAATATGAGGAAGGAGATAGCATGAGGATTCTACCTTGCCACCATGAATTTCACAGAACATGTGTGGACAAATGGCTCAAAGAGGTTCACAGGTACGGACTTGGCTCATATTTTTACGAACAAGGTTTTCTCCATCCTAGGCAGCCCATTCAATTTTTAAGTCCGTCCTTTTTGAAGTTTTTTTTGCTGCAATGGCTAAAAGTGCATATTTCACTGTTGCCAAAATTTTTAGCAACTGTCATTGAAGTATTTACATGTAACATTTGGCTTACTCATATAATGTACAGCGTATGTCCGCTTTGTCGTGGAGATATCTGCAGACCTGATTCTGTGACATTGGAGAATTAAGGCGACCAATTTGCAGGTTCTCCAGCAAAAACAGGATGTTCTGCAGTTTAGTGGTGATGGTTTGAGAAGTTCTGTCTTTTTCTGCTGCTATGGTTCTTGTTGGCTTGTTGAATTTTTTGGTTGCACATAAAAAACATACATTAAAGACTGGTAGAAATGGACTGAACTGTTCATGCCATGCCTTATCTCTCCCTTTGAAATCTTGGAAGCTGCACAGAGAGAGAGAGAGAGAGAGAGAGAGAATCTTCATCAGAAGGGCTTTCTGTGTAATTCTTTGATTACTATCTGGTTTCCTAAATGCGTCTTGGTGTCTGAAATGATCATGTTGTCTACCGAATGAGGCTTGAGACTCTTATCTCTCTCTATTTTATTTGTTTAATATTCTATTATATAAAACACACAACTCATATTGTTGTGAAGCTTTGTGACGCCTTTTTTTGTTTTTCCCTTTCAAAAATGCCTATATTATTAACTACTTATGAAAATAATCGCTAACTATTATCAGATTCAACTGAATTTATCTAACCATCCAAAAATTTAAATGTATTTATTACCTGATTGACTGTAATGAAATTATGTGGGAATGGGATGAGGTTGGAATTGCCATTCCCATTTCAATATAAATCTAAGAATGAAATTGTTATTCTGATTCCTATGTTTGGTATGTTGGAATGATGATTAGAATATAATTACATGATATTGATCAAAATGCCCCTATCAGGATTTTGTGATTTTTAAAAATTACAATTTCTAAGAAATTCTAGACGAAATTACCCTCATTTTCATGCTACAAATGATTTTGCACCTATTTTGATAGATTACCATTCAACCCTTGGAAAATAACGAACTTTTTAAACATCACAAGCAACATCATGACCGTAATTAACAAACTATACGCGTTATCTAAATTAAAATAGCAATCACTAAACAATTAAAAAATAATATGTACAAAATGACATTATAGATCCAACACATTAGTTATAACATCCATAAACCTAACTAAAAGTACAACTAAGGTCTCGTTTAACATGTAACACTTTTAGTTTAAAAGTCAAAAAATTACTAAAAAAACCGATAACTTGTGTCAAAAGGTCAAATACTTCATTTTCTCTCTACTTTTTGTAAATTTTTTCATAAAAAACTAAAAATTCATTTTAAACATACTAATTTTTTTAATCTCATATTTTAGCTAAAACATCAAAAAATTACTAAAATAACATGTCGCCAAACGTGGCATAAAAAATAGATCAATACATTAAAATAATAGACATCATAATTATATTTATAAAAATAGATTTTTATTTATTTTTTAAAAACAAACATGATAAAATTAAAATGTTACAACAATCAAATTGATTCAATTATTTATTTATTTATTTTTAATGATATATATTAAGACCTTTACAAAATAAATAGTTCCCATCATTAAAATGAATATTGTGGTGGACTCCATAAGCTCTTCATCCCAAGTTGAGATGTAACAATGTTTTTGATCTATCCGCAATTTGTCTAATTCGACATTTATTCCATTGTCAGATTGTGAAACAAATACTGAAATGAATTTCATGAATAACCAATTAAGACTTCTATTGAAAAGTTTTAACTTTTTTTTTTAAAAACAAATAGCTTCTTTGTTTTTTTTTTTTTTCAACTCAATTTATCAAATCATCCAAAAATTTAAATGTATTTATTACCTGATTGACTGTAATGAAATTATGTGGGAATGGGATGAGGTTGGAATTGCCATTCCCATTTCAATATAAATCTAAGAATGAAATTGTTATTCTGATTCCTATGTTTGGTATGCTGGAATGATGATTAGAATATAATTACATGATATTGATCAAAATACCCCTATCAGGATTTTGTAATTTTTAAAAATTACAATTTCTAAGAAATTCTAGACAAAATTACCCTCATTTTCATGCTACAAATGATTTTGCACCTATTTTGATAGATTACCATTCAACCCTTGGAATATAACCAACTTTTTAAACATCACAAGCAACATCTTGACCGTAATTAACAAACTATACACGTTATCTAAATTAAAATAGCAATCACTAAACAATTAAAAAATAATATGTACAAAATGACATTATAGATCCAACACATTAGCTATAACATCCATAAACCTAACTAAAAGTACAACTAAGGTCTCGTTTGACATGTAACACTTTTAGTTTAAAAGTCAAAAAATTACTAAAAAAATCTATAACTTGTGTCAAAAAGTTAAATATTTTATTTTCTCTCTATTTTTTGTAAATTTTTTGATAAAAAACTAAAAATTCATTCTAAACATACTAATTTTTTTAATCTCAGATTTTAGCCAAAACATCAAAAAATTACTAAAATAACATGTTGCCAAATGTGGCATAAAAAATAGATCAATACATAAAATAATAGACATCATAATTATATTTATAAAAATAGATTTTTATTTATTTTTTAAAAACAAACATGATAAAATTAAAATGTTACAACAATCAAATTGATTCAATTATTTATTTATTTATTTTTAATGATATATATTAAGACCTTTACGGAATAAATAGATCCCATCATTAAAATGAATATTGTGGTGGACTTCATAAGCTCTTCATCCCAAATTGAGATGTAACAATTTTTTTGATCTATCCGCAATTTGTCTAATTCGACATTTATTCCATTGTCAGATTGTGAAACAAATACTGAAATGAATTTCATGAATGACCAATTAAGACTTCTATTGAAAAGTTTTAACTTTTTTTTTAAGCCAAATCGCTTCTTTGGTTTTTTTTTTTATATATTTTTTATAAAAAGTTCAAAAAAATTAATCTACTTTTCAAAACCATTCAAAAGCTTGGTTTGGCATCTTTAAAAGAATACAAAAAATTACTAAGGCACTGTTTGAGAAGAAGGTTTTCAGGCTTTTTTAGCTATTTTAGTCACAAAAAATAAAATAGACTATTTTAGCCGCAACAAACAAAACCTCATATCCAACCCTTAATCATTCCACTCTTCTCTCACAAAAAAGTCAAAATAGTCAAAAAAAACTTTCCCAAACCAAGTTTTTTAGCCCTGGCTAAAATTGCTAAAAAAGTCAAAAAGCCAAAAAACCAACCCACATCCTAAACGGAGGCTAAAAAAGTTAAAAAATTATCACTATTCGCCAAAAAAATTATAAAAAAAAAATTTTACACAAAAAAGTACAACTCACTCTGACATGAGTTGCCTTTACTTGATTTTGGTGAGAACAAATTACATAGGCGGAGACAAGCTTAAGGACGGTGCTATTCGGCCCGTGGGGGCCATCACGGGTCCCGTTTTGATAATCTGAACCATTCAATGTGTAAAACTCGTCGAGTACTATATGTTTATTGAAAATCACGTTGATCGAATATCGCTAATTACATGATCAAATCAGTTTTGTATAAAAAAATAGATGGTATTATAGTTAACGGTTGACAAAAAACTAATCCGATCAGATAGCTATCGATATCCGATTAATGTGATTTTTTATAAATATATAATACTCGACGAGTTCTACACATTAAACGGTTCCGATTACCAAAATGAGACCCATGGTGGGCCTCCACGAGCTGAACATCACCGTCCAATTCAATGTTCGAAAAAAGAGGTAGGCATATCCTATATGTTAGTCTGCCAACTGCTTTTCTCTCCCTTCTCCTATATACTAAGGCCAAGTTTGGGAAGACTAAAAAAGTGCACTTTTTGTCTTTTTGGACTAAAAAATTGAGGTTGAAAATATGAATGTTTGGGTTAACTTTTTGACTTTTTATTGAAAAATGTGTAATAAAAAATTGTAAAAATTGATTTGTAAGGAAAAATTTGAATTGGGAGTTGTGCAGCCGTAATTGTTGACTTTTGGTGAATAGTGTTAACTTTTTAACTTTTTGAGTAACTTTTTGATTTTTTAGCTTTTTTTGAAGTCCCCAAACTTGGCCTAAATTACATAATTTTTTAATACATATTTTTTCGTAAAAAGTCAAAAAATTATTTCAAATAATCATATTTTTTCCTCAATTTTTTAGTCTAAAAATTTAAAAAATACACTTATTTAAAACATCCCAAACAACCTCTAAATCTCCTTTTGAGATCCCGCAACCAAACGCCCCTTATGGACAAAAGTAAAATATCACGCTGAAATTATTGAAGTGGGTGTAATTTACCAAAAACCCAAACGAAACAAAATATGTAAATGACGGGTGATTATTCAGTATTATTTGGTTTCCTCTAAAAGTGTAATTTATTTATTTTTAGATTATATTATTTCTTTATTTTTTATATCTTTTTTTATAAAAAATTAAAAAATATGTTTATTTAGATCATTCCAAATACTCTTAATAGTCTAATAATACAGTAATTTTCATGATAATATAATTGATAGAGAACGTGAAATATTGATTATTTGTGTTAGATGATAAGTAACATAAAAGGCATCATGAATGATTATTACTGAAAGAATATGACTACATGGCACTTTAGAACTATTATATAAGAGTAATATTATATGTATCAATTAGTATATTAATAAATGATATGATATAATTTCAGAGATTTTGATTTTTTATAATTTGTATAATATGTGAGATCATAATTTTAATGGTGTGTTTGATTGACGGATTTGAGAAGAGATTTGGAAAGACAAATGGAAAAAGTAAGTGAAATGTAAATAAAATATACCTATATTTCACACATTTTTTTTCTTTCTCTTTTCAAATCCCTCTTTAATCTCCTAAGCAAATACAACGTAAAATAATAATATCATAGTATATATTGATATACTAATTGGTGCAAGTAGCATCGACTATATATTTTCTTCGCAAATGAGATTGAAAAATTAATACTAATAGGGGGTTGGTTCAATGGATAAGATATTCGAATTCCTCGCTCAAGGTTTGAGTTCGAGTTTTAATAATTTCTTATTGAGGTTAAACATACTCTTTAGCACTTGAAGTATGCAGAAGGCTAAGTTTTGGCCCGGAAGTAGATACAGTGAGACTCCCTGTAACTGTAAGTGCTAAGAGGTAATATTCTCTGACGAATATGTTGAAGTAGCCTATCTTTGTGGTGTTTTGGAAAGTTGAAAAAAAATTGACCTTTTCACTTTTTTTTTGGTAAAAAATTAATTGTTTTGGATAAAAAAAAACTGATTTCTTTGATTAAAAAAAAAGTTAAAAAACTAAAAAATTAACTTTTTAGCATTGTTCCAAAAGACTCCTCCATATCCATTTTTGTTGAATAGAAAAAAAGAAAAATCGATGGGAACAAGACTGTAATTTGGCTCTCCATCCATCAAGTGCATCAACCCAACAAAACAAAAAGAAAAAAAAGAAAAAAAAAGAAAGAGACAGTGAAGAGCGAAACAGAGTGAAGGAGGGAGAGGGAGAGAGAGAGAGAGAGAGCAAATGTTGCAGAAATGAACAATAACAACAACGACATTCAACACCTGAAACAAGATCTGGACCCCCAAAGCGACCACAGCTCCGACCTCTACCCCCAACAACCCCACCCCCACCCTCACCCTTTCCAACCCCAATCTCACCCCCACCCTCAGCCCCGCCGCCCCCGCGGCTTCGCCGCCACTGCCGCGGCGGCGGCGGTGGCCATGGGTGCTGCCTCCGCTGCCGCCGCCTCTTCGTCCAGTGGAGTTGCCAAGGGGAAGAAGGAGAGGGAGAAGGAGAAGGAGCGCACCAAGCTCCGTGAACGCCACCGCCGGGCCATCACCAGCCGCATGCTCGCCGGCCTCCGCCAGTACGGCAACTTCCCTCTCCCCGCTCGCGCCGACATGAACGATGTCCTCGCCGCCCTTGCTCGCGAGGCTGGTTGGACCGTTGATTCCGATGGCACCACCTATCGCTCCTCTCCTCCTCCTTCCCAAATGGTTCCCTTTCATTTTGACCTACCCTCTCTCTCTCTCTCTCTCTCTCTCTCGAATTGTGTAGTTTTGACTTCAATTTTGCGTTTGAACTCGTTTCTGTTGTTGATTTCTCCTACTTTACAATTTAGTAAGTGTTTGTTACAATTCATGTGTAGAATTACTATTGCTTCTGAATTTAACAATCCTCTTTTCCTTGAAATTTCTTTGAATTCTGAGAGCACGACTGTTTTACCTCTTGTTATCGTGAAATTTCTTTTAGTACATATATGTAGAAGTGATATGGGCATTTTTCTAGTTCATGTTTTCAGTCATAGAGGATTTGATTTTGTTCTTGCAATGTAGAACATCCAAGTATAAGAATTTTGTAGAACATGAGAAATTAGAAGGCCTCGTCTGCGAACACGCTTTTTTAGTAGTTTTTTTGTTTTTCGGCTAAAATATGATGAAAAAAAAATAGTATGTTTGGGATGATTTTTTGGTTTTTTACAAAAAGACGTGTGAAAAGTAAAGAAGAAAGGAAATTTTTGACTTTTTGGTATTGGATGATGGCTTTTTGATTTTTTTAATGACTTTTTAACTTTTAGGCTAAAAAAGTTACTTCCCAAATGAGGCCGAGGTGCGGGGTTTATGCAGTATGTTACTTGTTAAAGAAAGGGAAAAAAAAAATTGAGTGTTTTTTCTCTGGATCTGTGGGTGGCATTGTATGTTAGGTAAAAAAATGTATTTGAGTGTTTTTGTCAGTAATATGTGGAGATTGATTGATACATCCATGGATTGCGTAACTAGATAGTTGAGCTCTTTATTTTTGGTGTTTTTTTTGGACAGCAATTTTGGATTTCATTCTTACCAATAACAATTTGATTAACATCCTTATTCATTGTTCCAATGCTAAGGTGTTATGAGATTTTTTGCTTTCTACTTTTGGGTTCAAGTGGGCAATGCTAGGGTCAGTGTAGGAGTTGTTGGAGTGTTGGAGAAATAGTAGTTGTAAGGTGAAAAGGAGGAAGAAAGCTTGGATGATTGGTCCATTGTGTGTTCTGTTGTGTTTGTGGAGGGAAATAAACTAATGCATTTTTGAAGATGCCAAGTTAGGAGTACTGAGTACACAAGCTTAAGAAGTTTTTTTTTTTTTTTTTTGCATAGCTTTCATTTTTGGTGTAAAAGAGTATTTTTGTGAATCCTATTTTTTGCTGCTTGACTTTATTTTGGCTAATCTCAATTTTGGCATTGAGCTTTTTTCATTATTCTTATAGCTTTTGTATATAGGGTGTCTTATTCACCCAAAAAATAAGATGTGTCCCCTTTCATTTTTAATTTTTTAAAAGGAGTACAGCTAAAGTTTCCATGCCCTATACCCACTATTTTTACGAGTATCATACTAGCATTTTATCTTTGCTTCTATTCTCAATTTAGTTCCAAGTGATGTGTAGGAATCTTAAGTATTTCAAGGAAGCTTGAAATTGAACTATCGATGAGGAGGAGTTGAACTTCAAGGAAGCTTGAAGTCGGGACCGTGATTCTATCTTGCTAGGAACACAATTCTTACTCTGAATTACAGAATTGCAGTTCTAGAGCGGAAACATCACCTGCAGTAGCAGATTCCTGTAACTAAGAGGTTTCCTTTGTTCGAAAACAAAGGCTTTGACACAGATTTAAGCACCATTATGCCCCAACCTTGGTTTGACATTTGGAAAGAGAAACAAAACATAATAAATGAAATGCAGTGATGTAAAATTGCATAATTCCATCTGTTGACTACATTTGTGCACTACCTGTTTTCTTTCCTAACCATCACAATTGAAACTATGAGTTATCTGATGCCATTATCACATTAACAAAGCTCAACATGCCACAAGCACACTTAAGTTGCATGATTAACAAGTTTAGATTTTTGCATGTTTTTCTAAATAAAAAATAAATAAAAAAAGGAAAAGAAAAGAAAAGAAATTTTTTATAGGAATTTCTTTCAGTTTATATTGTTGGAAATATCTTTTGCTTGGCATTTGCTTGATGTATGGACTTTATTCGGAATCCAAGTGAAGGCAATTTGAAAGTGTGGTTATGTTGTTCTTTAGGTCCTAATACTTCTTGCTAGGAGAAGAATATCTTAATGCAGTTGTGATTTTGGGAAGTTGAAGCTGTTTACTTAGTGTTGCTTTATATGTTGTCTCTAGTTGGCTAAGAACCCTATGCATCTATAGCAAAGCATATTTTCTTTGCATGTATTTGTCATAATAACTTGATAATTTTATTATCATAATTTATGATCCTGATTTATGCACAGGGGACGTTTCCTGTTAGGGTTGGAAGCCCACTGTCTTCTAGTTCACTGAAAAATTGCTCCGTGAAAGCTACATTAGATTGTCAGCCATCGGTTCTCAGAATTGATGAGAGCTTATCACCAGCGTCACTTGATTCTGTTGTAGTTGCAGAGAGGGATACAAAGAGTGAAAAATATACAAGTGCAAGCCCCATGAATTCATCTGAATGCTTGGGGGCTGATCAGGTAATTTTCTTGTCCTTGCTAATGCGGTATATAGAGCTTCTAGTACATTGTTTGATTTTGGTATTTAAGAACCCATTTTTAGCTCCCCCTTCAACTCTTGGACATTTACTAAGAACAACTCCCTTACCAATTTTGTATCTTCCTTTGCGATGCTACAATTTAGTAGTATTCTTTGTTTTATTTTTCCTTTTCTATACTTCGATTTGTTGTGTTTTATATTTTTCTTGTACTTGTTGGACTTTTAAGTATTGCAGAATTGTTCACATATTGCTGCTTACTCCTGTTGAACATTTATTGCTAACCCACTAGCCTTTCCCTTCCCTATTTTTTAACTAGGTTTTATATAGCTCAAGTAAAATCACTGGAAACAATTTTTGTCTTGCTAAGACATAAAATAAGTTTCAGTTTTTGTGCATCTGTGGATAGCAATCTAATATGATAAATGTATAGCTGCATACAGTTCATTCTATGTTTTGATTTGTATAATGAATTCTTAAGAGGTTGTGACCTACCTAGCCCCATGGCAAAAAAAAAAAAAAAAAAAAAAAAAAAAAAACTCTTGAGGTCTTTTATATTTTATGTAAGTAGCATACTGGTTTAGATATCTATGTTATTAGCTATAAATCTTTATACATGTTATATTGAACTTTGCCTAATCTATATGATTAATGGATTGTTTTTAATATTAAGCTTCCCTAAGTATTAAATTGAATAATTATATATTAGTGACTTTGTAGTTAGTATACATATCAGTCACTGAATGGTGACATATTGTTGCAATGTTTAACCTGTACGAGGTAAGCACCCTTGATAACATGATTGAATTTTGCAGCTTATGCATGATGTTGGTTCCAGGGAGCATGGAACTGACTTTACAGGAACTCCGTATGTCCCTGTTTATGTGATGCTTGCTGTAAGTGGCTACTTTTCTAGTTGATTCTCTATTTGTTTGTACATTTACGGTGCTTGTCAAGCATGTTTCAACTTTTAATACCTTTTCTTTTCTGTGCTTTATTTTCTCTCTTTTAACTTTTGCAATTGATGATGGAATTGGTAAATTTTGCTATGCCAGACTGGTGTAATCAACAATTTCTGCCAGTTGGTTGATCCTGAAGGTGTTAGACAGGAGTTGAGGCATCTGAAGTCTTCACATGTAGATGGTGTCGTCGTCGATTGTTGGTGGGGTATCGTTGAAGGTTGGAACCCACAGAAGTATGAATGGTGTGGATACAGGGAACTATTTACCATGATCCGAGAGTTCCAACTGAAATTGCAGGTCATTCAAGATTTTGCTTTTCATTGTTTGAATTCATTATTGTACGAGGACTAAAGCCTGCCACTGTGTAACTTTACTGCAATTTATTTGGACTACATCAAGCTTGAAGATGCTTTACATTTTAATTTTTCATGATTTTCACTGCAATCCAAGATCATCCCCTGAAAAATCTCTCTTTTAGATGTGGACTCATTAACCTTTTTGCTTTTTATATACTTTCTTGAAGAATACTTGATCTCAACTAATCTATGGAAAGGACAATCCTTAATGTAGCTGGTTGTCTCTTCTTTCATTTCTGAAGGTTGTAATGGCATTCCATGAATATGGAGGAAATGATTCTAGGGGTGTACTGATCTCCCTCCCCCAGTGGGTTTTGGAGATTGGGAAAGAGAACCCAGATATATTTTTTACAGACCGTGAAGGAAGGAGAAATACTGAATGCCTATCTTGGGGTATTGATAAAGAACGAGTACTAAAAGGAAGAACTGGTATAGAGGTATTACATTATCAATTATTTATTGGTATTTGTCATGTCTTCTTATTCTGAACAAAATTTTTAAAATTTATCGATGTTTTTCTTTATTTCAATTGTGACTCCATAGTCCAAGCCTCATTTGTTTCAGGGCATGATTATGTTCAGTTGCAAAATTGATTTTTCGTATTTCATAAAATTGATGTGGGCATGACCAAAGCATGGTAGTCATCTTTTATTTCTTTTTCATGTACTGGGATGCACAGGCCCTTTGATACTCTCAGCTTAGTATTGTTCTTTTTAATTTGCCTTTATTAAACTGAACATGCTTAATTCTCTTCTGCTATATTTAAATCTGGTCGTGTCCTCAATAACATTAATCTTTAATCCACTTTGCTGAAATTGTAAAAATTCAGTGGTCAATTTTTCTAATACTGTTCTTAGTCAATTCTGACCTGTTTGTTTTCTACTTGTCTGAAGACTGGTACATGCCCATTGCCCAGGACGTATAACTTGTGAGGAGAATCCTTATTAAGCCTCTTCTCTTAGTGCGTAGTGTGAAATTAACACATTCTAATCGTTGTTGGGATTTACACCTTCAGTTAGTCTGTATGTGAGCCTCTGACAAATTTATAGTGATATTGCAATTCTTTGTCTTTTGGAAGTGAGGGTCAAATGACAGGTATCGCGGTGTAGATATTTTCAGTTCTAAGGGACTAACTTTATGGATTCTTAGTTCATTGCTATCTTATCTGACATTCGCCTTTGAAGCTCATAGGGTAGGTGTACTACTTTGACTTCATGAGAAGCTTTCGCACAGAGTTCGATGACTTGTTTGCTGAGGGTCTCATCTCTGCAGTTGAAATTGGATTGGGAGCTTCTGGGGAGCTAAAGTACCCTTCTTTTTCAGAAATGATGGGTTGGAGATACCCGGGTATTGGTGAGTTTCAGGTATTCGTTAAAGCAAACGCTACAATGTGCATACCTCTCTCTTCTTCCTTATTTACATAAGCTCTGCTGACGGACTGGAGCATATGGTCATTGTGTGCTTTGCATATTATGCTCCTAATACATTTTACAGAAGTAACTGTTTCTCATGTAGCTGCAACATTGGGTGGATAGATTAGGTCTGTTCCTTTCCTTTTGGCATTAAGATTACTGCAAGAGAGTCTCCTGTTGTACTTGTTAGAAAAAAGGGTCTCCTATTGCTCATATTTTATTGATATTATTATTATTATTATTATATTTTTTACTAGTAACATGTATGAGAGGGAGATTTATGATCTAGTTTCGGCCAAACAAGATTGGGCCGAGGTATTTGGCTTCAAGATTGTGCCGTGGTTTTGCTCAGTAATGGCAAAGGGCCTGCGGAGCCGAGCTACTTGGGCTCTTTGGTATGAAGGCCGGTCAAGTGGCACGCTGAAATATTTGCTCCCCGTACAATGTATATATTTAAAAAAGGCACCAAGGGGGTGCCATCCACGAACAAGACTCCATGTTGATTGTGTACCACTGTGTTGAACTGACATTCATTCCCTAATTTATAGAAAGGGCAGGAACATGAATACGATGTGCAAGAACCGATTTACAAAAACTTTGGTTGCGTTTGGTTGTGTTTTGTAAATGTGATTTGAGAGTATGAATTGTATTTTGAATTTGTGTGTTGTAAAATTATGATTTGAGTGTAGAAAATTTGTTTGGGTAAAGAGTTTTGAAAATAGTTTTGGAAAAGATGTTTGATTTGAGTGGGGAATTGTTGATGTGATATTTGATATGTGATACAAAAATTTACAACTCATAACTAAATATACAACTCAAAATTATTTTAAAGCACATTAAAAATTAAAAAAATTTCAGAATTTTTTTTTTCCAATTATATAAATCAATTGCAAAAAAAAAAAAAAAAAAAAAAAATTCCTGTACAGCAGAGGACATCCAGGTGGATGTCCCCATGGACGTCCTGGCGGTAGTCCCTAAGGACGTCCGCGTGGTCTTCCCCTGGCCAAAATTTGAACAAAAAATGCGGCTGTAATACAGAGCTCTCTGCAGAAGTTTGGAAAGTTGATTCCAAACACACAACCAAACATCATACTGAAATACACATGTGGAATTACATTTTGAATTCACAACCAAACAGAGCCTTTATTTTTTTCGTGACTCTTATTGCCCAATACATGTCATAGAATGTATCAAAGAAAATATGAAGATAAAAATGGCTATATTCTTATGTATTTGTACTCAGAAACTGGAAATGCCTGATTGTGGAAAAGTCAACGGCTGTGTTTGGAACTTTAGTTCCACCCTTTGATTTGCCTATGGGGTTTGTTTGCAGCTTTTAAAAATTAATTCCACGTTTACTTTTGAAAACTCAGTCGAAGGCGGGAAAATTTGGACTAACCGGTCGTCCGGAACAGTGAAATATATATATATATATTTTTGCAATTGAGACATGCTAATTTTTATATATTTAACAAAAAATATTTTTCGAATTTTTAAAAAAATTTTATGAGCTTTAATAGAATTTTGAATTGTGTGTTTGGTTATAAATTGTAAATTTTTGTATCAAATATCATGTCACATCAAAAATTCCCCACCCAATTCAAAACTCTTTTCAAAATTCATTCACCAAACAAATTTTCCACACTCAAATCATAATTCTAAAACTCACAAACTCAAAATACAACTCCTATTCTCAAATCATAGCTAGAAAGCTCTACCAAACGCTACCAACAATTTTGGGTTCAATTCTTGACCAAAGCTTGGGCGATCAAGTTTCTGGAAAATTTGAGGAAACTTGAAAAGAAAAGAAGGGAAGTAGTAAACAACAATGTCAGGAATTACAATAAATGAAAATGGAAAAGTAGTTGAGAATCCAATAGGGCTTGTGCAAGATGTGGCACAGTGCTGACTAGCTCTTTAAGTGGACTGTATGAATTGGAGGGGAAAAATTCTAAATCTTTATAAATGAGTCTCAAGGTGCCATACCACATGATTTACCCCGTCCTCAAAATTTATTTTGTTTATCATGTCAGGCAATTAATTCAACTTTTGGTGCATTTTGCTTGATTATGTTAATATTGATTTTTATTTATTTATTATGTGAAATTTGCATTCCTACACAAAATTTGTACTTAAATAGTTATATTAACTCTTTAATGAATGACCTGTCATTTTTATTGTTTTTTCTATGTGAACACCATCCTATTCCAATAATATGTCATCGACTTTTCAGTGTTATGACAAATACTCACAACAAAATCTACGAAAAGCTGCGAAATTGCGTGGGCACTCATTTTGGGCCAGGGGACCTGATAATGCAGGTCATTACAATTCTAGACCACATGAAACTGGCTTCTTCTGTGAACGAGGTGATTATGATAGCTACTATGGGCGCTTTTTCCTCCACTGGTATGCTCAGTCTTTGATAGATCATGCTGATAATGTCCTATCTCTTGCAAGCCTTGCATTTGAGGACACAAGGATAATTGTAAAGGTACCTTTTAATTGTATTTAATTCATCTATAGTAATTTTAGGATGTCAACTTATATCTGTTGCCTATGTATAAAGTGGATGGTAAACTATGTCCGATTCAATTAATTATATCTTGGAGGAGTTTTTATTCACTAAATATGCTATGTGCCAATTTATCATTTTACATCATCCAAATCGTAGTAGTCCTTTGAGTTTCCATGTCACAGGTTTCATCTTCCTGATTGATGGAACTTTTTGATGTGTGCCCATGCAATGCAAATAAATTTTTCTTTGAATATTCAATGAATGAGGACTCTTGGTTCAGTAACAACTTCAATACTTCCATTATAGTTTATAAGGTGAAATTCTTGAAGTTCTGATTCGGGAAATACTACATAGAATGAGTGCTCTCTGCTGGAGGTGATACCAGAACCCAGTTACCCATGTACCTAACTTGTGTGAGATTCTTTCACACTTGCGTGCGCACACACACACACACAGCTTAATTAAGTTTGTATTTTCAAGTAGATAATAAAAGATGTGAAAATAATTTTATTATGTAGATGGTAGATATAATATATTCTGAATAAACAATACATTGTGCAGATTCCAGCCATCTATTGGTGGTACAAAACTACAAGCCATGCGGCAGAACTGACATCTGGATACTATAACCCTACAAACCAGGACGGATATTCTCCAGTTTTTGAGGTTCTTAAGAAATACTCGGTGACAATGAAGTTTGTCTGGTCAGGGCTGGTTCCGTGTCATGAAATTGACGAAGCATTGGCTGATCCAGAAGGTTTGAGTTGGCAGGTGCTTACCCTTCTTGTCCCTCTGAGTCCTGAGGCTATATAGTACTTTTTTGGTTGAGTAACTCTACTAGCTGTCTTCGTTTGGGTAGAAAACATTTTCTGGTATTTGGTACAACAAAAAACGAAAGACAATGAAAAGTGTTTTTCATAGGCAATGGAAAACAAGCCTATTTAGATGGAAAATGTTTTCCATTTTTAAAAGGTGGAAAACATTTGATGGACTAAATTTTTACTAATGCTACCACACTATCACTGTCATCATCACCCCACGACCACCACTGCCCCGTTGGTACTACAACCATTGGTATATTAGTTTCAAGGATGCAAGCAAGCATAAGAAAAGTTTTCTTTGGAAAACATTTTCTGGAAAAAGTTCTTCAAACATATTTTTTGCCCAAACAAACAGAGCGTAATGTGGAGAATACCGTTTTTAGTTTTTGTGCTGAGTATATGATGAGTGTTGATAGTTTTTTCCCCCCCCGGATATTCAGGTTTTAAATTCGGCCTGGGATCGAGGATTGACTGTGGCTGGTCAGAATGCAGTTCCATGTTATGATAGAGAAGGGTACATGAGAATAATTGAGACCGCAAAGCCCAGAAACGATCCTGATCGTCGCCACTTTTTGTTCTTTGTGTATCAACAGGCATCACCTTTTGCTCAAGGAACAATATGCTTCCCGGAATTGGACTACTTTATTAAATGCATGCACGGTATGATCTCAAAATCAATCATGTGTGGTCTAGTTTTCTTCAGTTTGGCAGTTGTTTGGATACTCTGTATCACAATTTCTTCCTTCTTTTCTCTGTTCTAGTTTTCTCATGCAGCTTTAACAAGAAAATGAAAATCAAATGATCACATAGGTTTGAAAATACGAAATCATGCATATATCTGAAGTGTTATAGATTAGTTCCACGCATTTCAGTTGTGTAGTTAAATTGGGATGATGATATCCAACACACTATTGAAAGTAGCAAAATTTAGATTTAACATGGGCGTGCTTGTTACAAAATTTGAGATTTTTTATTTTTGGATACAAGAGTGCATTCTACAATCAGATAGTATAGTTTCTAGTATGACCATGGTTAGTGCAGATTGATTGGGCTTACTAATCCAGCCTCTATGCAGTGTAATTCTTGAAATCCATGTTTTTTTGTGTGGATATTTTGCTTCATAAATTCCTTTATGTTTATAATGTTTATTATGTGGAACCTCACAAGTTATGCATATATTGTTTTTAATGTTATCTTATGCAGGAGAAATTACAGGTGAACTAGAACCCTGATGAGCACAAGTGCTGGTTTTACAAGTTGACTAGCAGTCAAGACGATGACTGACATGGTGGAGATGGAATCTGTATATTGAATATGGCTTAAGTTGCTGAATTTTCTAACCTTTCCGCCAGTATTTTAGTAATCATTTGTCTTAAGGATTACCTTTTTTATTTTATTTTATTTTTTGCCCTATTTTCTTTCTTTCTATATTAATTTATAATTGTAATTTCATCCAAATTACAGCACTGATTGCAAAAGTGAAGCATTAAATTAGGTATTTTAGAAAAAAGTATTTAGTATACGAGATAGTTGGTACTAGTTTCTCTCACATCATGTGATTTTGTGTTACTTTCTCTACTCGTATTGGTTCGATTTACACAAAATACTGTCTCAGGTACTTCAAAGTTTCTTGAGATTGATTGATCTCTTGTTGTCAGTATGGCAATCAATTAATTGAATATGGCTTAAGTTGCTGAATTTTCCAACCTTTCCGCCACTATTTTAGTAATCATTTGTCTTAGAGCATTTCCAATGGCTCACCTAATTTTTTATCAAATCTGAGTAAAAAAATGACAATTTTCTTAATTTGATACAGAATGTTTCAATGGTTGATTTCTAATGGTCGATTTTCATCAAATCTGTTCCGGGGACAACCGGTTGGTGGACCGGCTAGTTGACCGGTAAGGCAAATTTATTTTTTTTTTTTGAACTTACCTATTTGAACTGTTTGAACTTTTTAGTGGTCGATCGATTGGTCGACCGGTAAGGTAAAAATATATATATATATATATATATTTGAATTGCTTGAACCTATCCATTTGAACTGTTTGAACCTTTTCGTGGTCGACCGGCTGGTCAATCGGCCGGGCAACCGACTGGTTGACCGGTTCCTCTCCTTCAACGGTCACAAACAGTAATTTGCCGAAATCTGTATCCTGTTATCAGTTTGATGATTTTTTTGTTCTATTCTCAATTTGATACAAGTTTGGTGAAACCGTTGGAGTTTCAAAAAGTGATTTTTTCATCAAATTTCAAATTTGATGCCAAGTTTGGTGAACCGTTGGAGATGGTCTTAAGGATTACATTTTTTATTTTATTTTATTTTATTTTTTGCTCCCTTTTCTTTCTTTCTATATTAATTTATAATTGTAATTTTATCCAAATTACAGCACTGATTGCAAAAGTGAAGCATTAAGGCTAAGTTTGATACCTTAAAAAAAAAGTCAAAAAGTCACTATCTTATTTAAGTCACATCATTTTATTTAAGTCACATCACTTCTTTATTACATCATTTTAAATCCAACTCATATTTCATAAAAAGTTAAAAAGTACACTTATTTAGAACATTCTAAACAATCTCTAAATTAGGTATTTTAGAAAACAGTAATTAGTATACGAAGTAGTTGGTACTAGTTTTATTATAGACAAGTGTTACTAATTTAGAAAACAGTAATTATAAACAAGTGTATATAATTGTAAAAACTGTAGCAAAGAGTAAATAATTGTAGTCCTTCTTTTGTATTTATTTTTGTCTCTTTGTATTTACTTTTAGGTAGACTTTTCAAAAAGCCTATGACTAGGCTTGCCTAAAGAGTAAGAAATTTTGCAACTTTTGGACGTAAAGTCTTGCAAAGTTAGATATGTTAGATATGGAGTTAGATAGGCATTAAATTATATTTTGTTTGTATTCACTCCTTGTAAGTCTATATATTGGCCTTTATGCCAACATAATAAGGTATGTAAATTCTCTCCATACTCTCTCCATCTTTGTGCTTCCACTTTTGTCTCTAAGTTCTCTGTCACAATTCCATAACTCCACCATAATTCCATAATAAAAATAGTAAAAAGCTCATTTCCATTTGTTTTGTAATTGGTATCAGAGCTTGGTGAAGAACTTTTGAAAGCAAGATCAAGTTATGTAAGTATTTCTATCTATATATAAATTTTTGATATATATAAGTTTGTATGGTATGTTTTATTTTATAAAAAAAAAAAATTAAATTAAAAATTCCGTCTAAGTTTTTTGTGTATCTTTTGTATTTTATATCTTTATAATTATTTGTTTCATTTATAGTTGTTGTAAAACCTATATGCTTAGTGTATGTCAAAGCCCATATACTCGTTAAGATTTTTTGACTATTGGCCATAATTAAGTCTTTAAGATCATAAAGAGAGGTTTTAGGCACCAGATACTACACTAGGAAGGTCTTAGGTACCAACAACAATCAGATACCAACAACAATCTAAAATGGCAATTAATTCTGATGATATAATATGCTTTGGAAATACAAAAAATAATGTTAATAATAAATATGATCATAGTTTGCATATTACTAAAGAATCTGCAAATATAAATAGTGTGTGTTCTAGTTTAAATAATATTACTGATATTATGTGTTCTTGGTTTTCTAAATTAGATAAAAATCAAAAAATAAATCAAAATTATCTAAAGACCAAAGTTGAGTCTATAGAATCTAAAATAGATAATTTGGGTTCTATAATAAATATTGACTTAAATAAAGAAGCAAAAAATCAAATAAACAATTTGGTGACAAAATTAGAAACTATATCCTTCATAAACAATGATGGAATGAATAGTCCAGGAGATAGTTACATCTCTAAGCTATTTTATGGTACAGAAGATATTATGGTACTTCAAACTAATACCTATAATAGAACTGAATATGAAAATATTGTTGAAATATTGAATTATTGGAGAAAATTATATAAAGACCCAGACTTAGGTATTGAAGAAAGAAATATGCTACTAGATCAGATAAGAGAAACTTATCTAGAAAATGAAGCCCTTTTATAACACTTTAATTATGATATTAATATATCAACTAATGATGATGACAACCAATCATCCTCATCTGAAGAAACAATAGATCAAGATATTTCATCAGAAAAAAATAAAGGGAAAAGAAAAGCAGAAGAGCCAATTGATCCCGAATTATTTGGCACATGGGGAGATGGAGAAAATTTTGACTTTATTCAAACAAATGAAGTTAAAAATGATACTAACATTGGAAGTACCTCCAATCCTACACCTGAGCAAGTAATATCTAGAAAAGATAATAATCATAAGTATCCAATATCTCAAAATGGTACTTATTTAGACTTGTCTTATGTTCCATTTAAGGATCAACCACAAGCAATAGATGATTGGGCACAATCCTTGTCCATCATTGTTACCAATTATAAAAATAGTTGGTCAAAGGAAAAATTCCTTGATTATATTGCAGCAACTCTCCAGGGAGATGTATTGCAATGGTTAAGACAGTGGGAAAAATCTGAAATTAAAAAAAGTCAAAAAACGGCTTTGTTAACAAATTTTCTCACACTTGACACAATTTTAGCTGAATTTGCAAAAATCATAAAAGAAAATTTATGTGGTTTTGCAGGAGATACTAATTTACAAGCAGATGCAAATTATATTTTGACTAAATTAGAATTATGTAATATTTTTCTTTTTGAAGATTATGTTCAAACTTTTAAAAAATTATTATTATTTTATTGATCCATCAGCAAATCAACCCTGGTTAGATCAATTTTTTCATAAACTCCCTAATCCATGGGATGAGTTATGTATTAAAACATATCCTGATTTTCTCAAAAAAATGGGGAAGAAGGAATATGATAATCTTGGTTTTCGCATTAATTATGTTCTAAGGCTGATAACAGATCGGTGTCTAGAAGCAAGGGCGAAAAAACAAATAAAAAATCAAATTTCTAACTCAACATATGGTCAAAAATGTTGTGATAAAATTTTAAAAGAAAATTGAAAAATTGGTTGTAATACATTTCCTAAAAGAAAAGGATTTTTCAAAAAGTGTAGAAAATATAAATGGAAACCCTGGAAAAATAACAAAACTTTTTCAAAAAAGAAAAAGTATATTCGAAAAAAGAAACCAACAAGTGTTTCAAAAAAGAGAACTTGTAAATGTTACATTTGTAACGAAGAAGGTCACTATGCACCCGAATGCCCAAAAAGAGGAAAAAGTGCAAAGAAAATGATCAAAGTCCTTGAAGAACAAGAATTTGAAATAATATATAGAGAAGAAATTTCTGATGAAGAAGAAATCTTATATGAAATTTCTAGTGATGAAGAAAGTTCAGATGAAGAACTAATCTTCATGATGACTACTAATAGTCAAGAAATATCTCAAGAAGTAAATAGTATATCTCAAGAAGAATTACAGGCAATTCGACTTGGAGATGTAATCGGAGAAGAAAAAACTTTTACCGACGAAGAATTAGCAAAATTTGAAAAAATGCAAGAAGTTGTTGTTCCAGAAATTTACAAACTTTCAAAATTTAACTTCTTTTCAGCAAGAGTGTTTGAACAATACAGTGGTAACACTAAAGCAAAATGGTTAGAAGAAGGAAATATTGATATTTCTTTTTTTTATAAGAAAAAGTTTGCAAGATGGAAAAAGAAATATTCTGAAATTCAATATATTCATATTGGATTAATTCAAGTAACCATAACAGCCTTATTTCGCCAAGGGATAGATACTCCTATTTTGGCAGTAATTTTTGACAAAGATTTTTCGACCCAATGAAAGCAATCATTGGAGGAATTCAGTTTAATTTGGCTAATGGAGTAGTTTGGTTTAATGTTAGACTAAATTTCTTTATTTCCATAAATGATCCTAATCTTGAAGATACAGTCAGAATAAGGATTAAAACACAAGGATTAGGAATGAAATCAAATTCTCATGATTTGGCTATTCGTTGGAAAATAATTCACGAATTAACCAAATTTCCTAAAACAAAAATAAGATCAAACGATAATAAAATCGTTGAGATCTTTGAACCAAGACCATTTGACACGGTAATACAACCTCGTCTAATGAATTGGAGCGATTTAGAAGTTCCTCGACAATGGTTAATCCAAGACCTAGTGGGACAAGGAGAATCTTCTAAAACAAAAAAACCTGCACAATTACAAATGCAGGCATCAGGAAAAAATTTATACATTGAAAATACAGTTCCAAAAATTAAAAGATCAACTTCTGTATTTGAAACAGATTTTCCTAACAAATCATTTTCAAAGTTAAGCATTGGAGAATCAAGTAATAATTCTAATAAAGAATCTATTACTTCAAACAATGTTCAGATTCCTATTTTTCTAGGAACAAGAAAACTTGAACATATTAAGTCCGCATATATGTATCATTTTCAAACAAAAAAATGATGATATTATTTTTTCTCCTAGCCAAGGAAAAAGAAGATATACATATGTATTGGGAACATTTAATTTTGCAGGTTACAAACCCTATAGCCTCAGTGTTCTCATAGACACATGAGCTACAGTTAGCTCATATAAATGGAATGACATACCAAAGGAAAAATGAACATTAATGAAACATCCAATTTTGGTTACTGGAATAGACGGCAACCATACTTCCATACAATTCAAGGCTAAAAATATAGCTATTTAGTTAAATGATAGCAAATTCATTATACCAAAAATTTTATATTTTTCATATATATGGAGATTTACTTCTTGGCAATAATTTTATATATTTACCTTCCAATGCAAATACAGGAAAAAGCTATTTCATTAAGCATAAACAATGTCTTAATTCATATTCCTTTGTTAGAACAACATAAATACATTTGTGATAAAGAGTTTGCGCCCGTGCCGCGTGGTGATTTAACTCCCATCATCAAAACTATTGATGAATCACATTGGATTTATAAAATTTAGAAGAAAATTTTATTGAACATCCATTAAAACTATGGCAACGTAGTCCACGTTATTGTAGTTTAAAATTGAAAGACCCTAATGTTATTATTACAGTAAGACCAATGATCTATACTAGACAAGATATAGATGAATTTGATATTCAACTCCAGAAACTTTTAGACAAAAGGTTAATTGAAGAAACTAAAAGCCCTCACTCTAGTCCAGTTTTTATGGTAAGAAACCATACTGAAATTAAAAGAGAAAAAACCCAAATGGTAGTCAACTATAAACGGGTAAATGAAAATTTAGAATTTGATGGATATTTTATTCCACGAAAAGATATTTTGATTAACTTAACCAAAGGATCAAAAATCTTTAGCAAATTTGATTGTAAAAGTGAATTTTGGCAAATTTAATTGACTGAAGAGTCAAAAAAATTGATAGCCTTCAATACACCTAGAGGACATTACCACTAGAATGCTATGCCATTTGGATTAAATATAGCACTACAGGTATTTCAACGGTGGATGGATACAATTTTTAAAGATCTTAAAGATTGTTGTGTAGTTTATATTAATGATATACTTATCTTCTCTAAACCAAGGAAGAGCATAAGAAACATTTAAAATTATTTTGTGAAAAATTTCAAAAACATGAAATTATTTTGTCTCCAAAAAAGATTGAACTAGAAAAAGAATTAATTGAATTTTTGAGAATAATTTTAGACCAGAAAGATTTAAAATTATAAGAACATATTTTGTCCAAAGTACGAGATTTTCCTGATACTCTTGAAAATATAACACAATTACAGAGTTTATTAGGCATTTTAAATTATGGACGAAATTTTATCAAAAATCTTTCAAAAATAGAAATTCCTTGGTTAACCAAATTAAGGAAAAATGTTATTTATGAATGGATAGCAGAAGATATTGCTTTAATTAAACAAATTAAAGAAAATGTTAAAACTTTACCAGATGTTTATCTTCCTAAAACAGGTGATAAATTAATTTTAAAAACAGATGCCTCAGAAGCATGCTGGGGATGTGTTCTTAAAGCTATACCCAGTAATTTATGGCATGATAAAGAGATACCTTCATCAGAAAATGGGATTAGACCAAGAAAAAATTCAATACCCATAAAATTACAAAAAAAAGAATTAATTTGCGGATATAATTCTGGAACATTTAAACCAAATGAACAGAAATATATTATTTTTGAAAAAGAATTAATTGCAATAAAATTGGCAATAAAGAGTTTTCATATTTATTTAGCCCCAGAAAATTTTATTGTACGCACTGATAATAAGGCAGTAAGAGATTTCTTGATCAATAAAAAACCTATTGAACAAGGAAGAAGATTAGCCTGATATAATAAAATTTCTGAATATACTTTTGAAGTAGAACATCTTAAAGGTACTAACAATTTTCTTGTAAATTTTCTTAGCAAAAATTGTTTCAGAAAATTAAATTGCTAAACAAGTAAATTTAATTTTTGCAGAAGATCTCTAGACCAAGAGGAAACAATAGATAAGGGTAAACAACCCGCTCAAGGAGATTGGGTGACAATTGCTAAAAAAGCAATCCCCAGAGAAGAAAAAGTTTATGTTGTGTTTGCAGGAAGACAATCTGGAATTTACACTGACTGGAACGAAGCCAACCTACAAGTTTGTGGATATTCAGGAGCGAGCTATAAAGCATATGATAGCATGACTAAAGCTAAAAAAGCTTTTTACAATGCACCCGCTATGCCAGTTTATCAAAAGAATTTTTGTCAAATGAGAACTAACCCAGTTCCAGCTAATATTCAGACATCTAGACCAGATGAATCAGAAATAAAAGATTTTTTCAACCCTGGTATATCTAGAGAAATTTATACGGAACTCAATGGAGTTTGGAAAACTCATATTGTAGACTATAAAGTGAAATTTCGAAAACACATGGGAGTTTTGGCCAACAAATTAGCTGAGCAAACAGCTAAATTAAAAAATTTGCAAAATCTTTGTTTCAATATTCTTAAACAAATGAATTGGAATGAAGATTTTAATTTTGAAAAAATAAACAATTTTCTTCAGCTATCAGACTTCATATTAGATGAGTTTTCTGATCAAGTTTTTGAACAAATAAAAAGAATTTGTCTTTTTCAAAAAGCAATAACTTTGCTTCCCAAAGAAATTTTTATGTTAATCAAAAATCGAGTTAAAGATCATCATGATAAGATTAGACAAATCTTAGAACGATCTTATGATAAATTAAATTTGAAAGATGAAATTTCCAAAATAACCATCATGGCAAACCATGACATGTGATTTTTTGAGGATATAGATTGGGGAATAACTAATCAAGTTATTTTTCAAATTTTAGATCCAATCCAATAGATAGATTATCCAATGATCATCAAAGCAATGATCTCATGGATAGTAAAAGGCTTTCGATGGAGCAAATATTTTACTTTCTGGATCTCCAGCATTGTTGGTTGGCGAGAACGAGAACATTTTTTCTAACTATACTAGATTTGGTATTTTAAAGAAACTGAAGATTTTGAATTTGAAGATGATTATTTAGATGAAGATCACCGGAGAGAGCGATTGAAAAATATCCAAAAACTTTCTTTGACAGAATATTGGATAGACAGTCTAATATCTGTTTCACAAGCAGCTTCCAACATCCATGGCTCAGCAAAATTGCCATTCATGGTTACAGATGGTAGAATATTATTTGTAACTCATTTTCCCATAACATATCAAAGGTCTCCTACACAAATTAATGAGGCTCTTGACATGTTAATAAATCTCAAAAAGAGAAATAATTTGGATCTTCTGTTGGAACTAGCCATGACCGCAGATGATATAGAACATTTCCGGAATGAGTAATACAGTCAAGATCCGGATTCCCCTCCATCAGAGACTGATGAAGAATATCACAATCTCATCAACATGATGGAAGCATAGTGGACCCCACCATCAAATGCAGCCGTCTCCTGATCGACTCCAACCTTATCCAGGACACGTGGAGCAACCTGCATTATTAGGCAGAAAGTGATCAGCCACATCTTTTCAGCCAACACTACACGACAAATTAGCTCAGCCAAAGCTTATCTACAACAGTCTATCTCTTTAAAAACCGGGGAGGGTAGACAAGTGTATATAATTGTAAAAACTGTAGCAAAGAGCAAATAATTGTAGTCCTTCTTTTGTATTTATTTTGTCTCTTTGTATTTACTTTTAGGTAGACTTTTCAAAAAGCCTATGACTAGGCTTGCCTAAAGAGTTAGAAATTTTGTAACTTTTGGACGTAAAGTCTTGCAAAGTTAGATATGTTAGATATGGAGTTAGATAGGCATTAAGTTATATTTTGTTTGTATTCACCCCTTGTAAGTCTATATATTGGCCTTTATGCTAACATAATAATGTATGTAAATTTTCTCCATACTCTCTCCATCTTTGTGCTTCCACTTTCATTTCTAAGTTCTCTATCATAATTCTATAATTCCACCATAATTTCATAATAAAAATAATAAAGAGCTCATTTCCATTTGTTAATGCCAACACCATGTGATTTTGTGTTACTTTCTCTACTGGTATTGGTTCGATTTACACAAAATAGTTTCTCAGGTACTTTAAAGTTTCTTGAGATTGATTGATCTCTTGTTGTCAGTATGACAATCAATAAATTGTAGTATTTGGAACTTCACAAGGAAATGAGATTAAAGAGAGAGAGAGATTCAGCAGTTGGTTATTCTTTCTTGGGCTATAGAAACATCATTGATGTTGAAAGAAAAAGGAACAAAAAAAAAAGGAAGCAGCTTGCCTTCTAAGATTGAATTAGACCGTGTTGTTCGGCCTATGGGAGTTCATCATGGGTTTCATTTTGATAATTCGAACCGTTCAATGTGTAGAACTTGTCGAGTATTATGTTTATAAAAAATCACATTAATCAAATATCGATACTATTTCATTGGATCAATTTTTTGTCAACAATTAATTTGTTCATCGTTCATTTTTTTTTTTTTAATACAAAACTGATTTGATCACATAACTATTGATATCCGATCAATATGATTTTTTATAGGCATATAGTATTCAACGAATTTTACACATTGAACAGTTTAGATTATCAAAATAGGACCCGTGGTGAGTCTTCACGGACCGAACAACACCGTCCAGTCTGCTCTTGGACTGGAGGCAAGCTGCATCCCAAAAAAATAAAAAAAATGTAGAAAGAGTTGAGTAGGACCTTTCAGGGCCAGTATCAATGAAAGGTTTAGATTTTTAATATTTGGAAAGGGCAATTAAATAAACAGCAAAACAACGAAGACTTGACCTGCTGTACTCTGGCATTTGTTTTTCAATATTTTTTTTCCACTCACCACCCCAAAAACAGAAGAAAAAAGGAAACCACAAAATGAAATGAGTTCATTCTAATTCAATAGTTATCCAAACAGGTTCACTACATCCAAGGATATTTTGTAACTATATTGATAAGATAATGACAACATGTCAGGAATTTCCTATCATCTTCTAATGCAAATACAACAAAAGCACTAATCCTTATCAGTCCTATGTTCTACCTTCTGCAATTTTTTTCTACCTTAAATGTTTGTTTTTGCAGCATGAGAATTGAAAGCTACTTCCTTGGCAAAATGGATTGCCAATTTGAAAACAAAAAAAAAATAAATATTGAACTCATGATTGTTGTTGCTCCACCAACCAACCATCTCCTCACAAGAATCCCAATGCTGGTCGACGGAGTAAGCATTTCTAGAATCCGTCTCAAATCAGTATGCAAATGACACCCCCTTTTAACTCTGAGAATCGCAGTGTTGAGGAAATTCACATTTGCAAGGTCCTGTCCTAACCTACAAGAGTGAAATTATAAAGAAAGAAAATGAGAGCACGAGACAAACAGAAATGAGAGAGAATGAGACAGCAAGCAATTCTTTGAACTTCTTTACACTGCACACAGTCACAAGGGCATGTTCAACAATAAACATAATGATTTTATAAAGAATGCATGTTAATAGCGTTTCCAGTAAGCCCAATACCAAGTCAAATAGTTTCCAAAAGGACTATTCGAATAGTTTCCAGTGAGCTAATAACAAAAAGAATGATGAAATATGAAAGACAGTAATTAAGCCATTTTGATCTAACTATGATTTTGGTAGCAGACTACACAAATCAACAACGCATCATATACATTTAAAGAAATTTCGTAGTCGCAGACAGGGAAAAGCCACCACCTATCGCGGAAGATTATGTAAGGTGCAGTCAAGTCTCTTCTACTCTAAACCTAATTTTAGGCAGCTTTATCATCAGTGCCCTAAAGCAATCCTACACCATCAAAAAGATTAGATGAATAGTGGATGCTGAGCTCCTTGAATGTATATCACACATGATCAAATGGAAGTATTCAACCAAGAGAAAAATATACATCTATCCAAATCTCCAAGGTTAACACATAAAATGCATACAAACAGGTTTAGCAGAAGAAAAAAAGAAGAAAAGAATTCTGCATACCTTACGAAATGTGAAAGATACTCTCCTTGAACCTCTTCTGATCGCACTATCCTTCACGAGGTCAATCTGCAAAAGAAAGCATTATTGAAATTTAGGATGATAATCAAATGGCCAAAGTGCAAAAAGGAAGGAGAAAAAAAATTGTGTTCCATTTCATGACACCAAATTGCTAATTATAAAGAAAGGAAAAATCCCAAGACTTAAAATGGTGATGCAACAAAGGTTTGCCTGCCTGGAAGACCCAACCCAACCAACTAGCCATAAACATCGTGTTCCAGTGGTCTCAAAAAGTTACTTTGAATATCCCCTTAACACTTGAATTAAGGCCTAATCTCACAGTGTTGGAATAAAATGCTCTAGTCTCTTGGCCACCGCTAGCAGAACTCTCACCTCTGAAGATTCTCCACTTTTTGCCTTTCCAAATAAACTAGAGATGTCTGGATGTCAGAGCAGCTTGTCAAAAGCAAATTCATAAATGCCCCAAAGCATATCTCCCAAGGGATCATTGAAGATCAAATATGCAATGAACAAATAAAACACAGTAGAACACAAAAAGGAGACCAGCTAATAATGTAAAGCTGATCACAGTTTTCTCGAATAAAAAACACTTCAAATGTACTATCTGATTTAGTTTATGCTGATCAAGAATGAGAATATATATAGGATGAGAGTCCTCACAATCCTGGAGGAATAAAGGGTGGTCAAAGTTAAAGAAAGTGAAGTATCAACAACAGAAGAATAGCTGCAAAGATGCTCCCCAGATAACATAATATACTTTACATATGAAATATGTTTGAATAATTGACAAAGAGTCCAAGAGTTAAAGAGTTGACAACTATAGATAGTGAGCTATACCTTATGATGTGGAATGTAATGGAGCCAAGCATACCGTGCCTCCCCAATCTCAAAAAGAGAAATAATTTGGATCTTCCGTTGGAACTAGCTATGATCGCAGATGATGTAGAACATATCCAGAATGAGTAATACAGTCAAGATCCGGATTCCCCTCCATCAGAGATTGATGAAGAATATCACAATCTCATCAACAGGATGGAAGCATAGTGGACCCCACCATCAAATGCAGCCGTCTCCTAATCGACTCCAACCTTATCCAGGACACGTGGAGCAACCTACATTATTAGGCGGAAAGTGATCAGTCACATCTTTTTAGCCGACACTACACGACAAATTAGCTCAGCCAAAGCTTATCTACAACAATCTATCTCTTTGAAAATCGGGGAGGGTAGACAAGTGTATATAATTGTAAAAACTGTTGCAAAGAGCAAATAATTGTAGTCCTTCTTTTGTATTTATTTTGTCTCTTTGTATTTACTTTTAGGTAGACTTTTCAAAAAGCCTATGACTAGGCTTGCCTAAAGAGTTAGAAATTTTACAACTTTTGGACGTAAAATCTTGCAAAGTTAGATATGTTAGATATGGAGTTAGATAGGCATTAAGTTATATTTTATTTGTATTCACCCCTTGTAATATATTGGCCTTTATGCCAACATAATAATGTATGTAAATTCTCTCCATACTCTCTCCATCTTTGTGCTTCCACTTTCGTCTCTAAATTCTCTATCATAATTCCATAACTCCACCATAATTTCATAATAAAAATAATAAAAAGCTCCTTTCCATTTGTTAATGCCAACACCATGTGATTTTGTGTTACTTTCTCTACTGGTATTGGTTCGATTTACACAAAATAGTTTCTCAGGTACTTTAAAGTTTCTTGAGATTGATTGATCTCTTGTTGTCAGTATGACAATCAATAAATTGTAGTATTTGGAACTTCACAAGGAAATGAGATTAAAGAGAGAGAGAGATTCAGCAGTTGGTTATTCTTTCTTGGGCTATAGAAACATCATTGATGTTGAAAGAAAAAGGAACAAAAAAAAAAGGAAGCAGCTTGCCTTCTAAGATTGAATTAGACCGTGTTGTTCGGCCTATGGGAGTTCATCATGGGTTTCATTTTGATAATTCGAACCGTTCAATGTGTAGAACTTGTCGAGTATTATGTTTATAAAAAATCACATTAATCAAATATCGATACTATTTCATTGGATCAATTTTTTGTCAACAATTAATTTGTTCATCGTTCATTTTTTTTTTTTTAATACAAAACTGATTTGATCACATAACTATTGATATCCGATCAATATGATTTTTTATAGGCATATAGTATTCAACGAATTTTACACATTGAACAGTTTAGATTATCAAAATAGGACCCGTGGTGAGTCTTCACGGACCGAACAACACCGTCCAGTCTGCTCTTGGACTGGAGGCAAGCTGCATCCCAAAAAAATAAAAAAAATGTAGAAAGAGTTGAGTAGGACCTTTCAGGGCCAGTATCAATGAAAGGTTTAGATTTTTAATATTTGGAAAGGGCAATTAAATAAACAGCAAAACAACGAAGACTTGACCTGCTGTACTCTGGCATTTGTTTTTCAATATTTTTTTTCCACTCACCACCCCAAAAACAGAAGAAAAAAGGAAACCACAAAATGAAATGAGTTCATTCTAATTCAATAGTTATCCAAACAGGTTCACTACATCCAAGGATATTTTGTAACTATATTGATAAGATAATGACAACATGTCAGGAATTTCCTATCATCTTCTAATGCAAATACAACAAAAGCACTAATCCTTATCAGTCCTATGTTCTACCTTCTGCAATTTTTTTCTACCTTAAATGTTTGTTTTTGCAGCATGAGAATTGAAAGCTACTTCCTTGGCAAAATGGATTGCCAATTTGAAAACAAAAAAAAAATAAATATTGAACTCATGATTGTTGTTGCTCCACCAACCAACCATCTCCTCACAAGAATCCCAATGCTGGTCGACGGAGTAAGCATTTCTAGAATCCGTCTCAAATCAGTATGCAAATGACACCCCCTTTTAACTCTGAGAATCGCAGTGTTGAGGAAATTCACATTTGCAAGGTCCTGTCCTAACCTACAAGAGTGAAATTATAAAGAAAGAAAATGAGAGCACGAGACAAACAGAAATGAGAGAGAATGAGACAGCAAGCAATTCTTTGAACTTCTTTACACTGCACACAGTCACAAGGGCATGTTCAACAATAAACATAATGATTTTATAAAGAATGCATGTTAATAGCATTTCCAGTTAGCCCAATACCAAGTCAAATAGTTTCCAAAAGGACTATTCGAATAGTTTCTAGTGAGCTAATAACAAAAAGAATGATGAAATATGAAAGACAGTAATTAAGCCATTTTGATCTAACTATGATTTTGGTAGCAGACTACACAAATCAACAACGCATCATATACATTTAAAGAAATTTCGAAGTCGCAGACAGGGAAAAGCCACCACCTATCGCGGAAGATTATGTAAGGTGCAGTCAAGTCTCTTCTACTCTAAACCTAATTTTAGGCAGCTTTATCATCAGTGCCCTAAAGCAATCCTACACCATCAAAAAGATTAGATGAATAGTGGATGCTGAGCTCCTTGAATGTATATCACACATGATCAAATGGAAGTATTCAACCAAGAGAAAAATATACATCTATCCAAATCTCCAAGGTTAACACATAAAATGCATACAAACAGGTTTAGCAGAAGAAAAAAAGAAGAAAAGAATTCTGCATACCTTACGAAATGTGAAAGATACTCTCCTTGAACCTCTTCTGATCGCACTATCCTTCACGAGGTCAATCTGCAAAAGAAAGCATTATTGAAATTTAGGATGATAATCAAATGGCCAAAGTGCAAAAAGGAAGGAGAAAAAAAATTGTGTTCCATTTCATGACACCAAATTGCTAATTATAAAGAAAGGAAAAATCCCAAGACTTAAAATGGTGATGCAACAAAGGTTTGCCTGCCTGGAAGACCCAACCCAACCAACTAGCCATAAACATCGTGTTCCAGTGGTCTCAAAAAGTTACTTTGAATATCCCCTTAACACTTGAATTAAGGCCTAATCTCACAGTGTTGGAATAAAATGCTCTAGTCTCTTGGCCACCGCTAGCAGAACTCTCACCTCTGAAGATTCTCCACTTTTTGCCTTTCCAAATAAACTAGAGATGTCTGGATGTCAGAGCAGCTTGTCAAAAGCAAATTCATAAATGCCCCAAAGCATATCTCCCAAGGGATCATTGAAGATCAAATATGCAATGAACAAATAAAACACAGTAGAACACAAAAAGGAGACCAGCTAATAATGTAAAGCTGATCACAGTTTTCTCGAATAAAAAACACTTCAAATGTACTATCTGATTTAGTTTATGCTGATCAAGAATGAGAATATATATAGGATGAGAGTCCTCACAATCCTGGAGGAATAAAGGGTGGTCAAAGTTAAAGAAAGTGAAGTATCAACAACAGAAGAATAGCTGCAAAGATGCTCCCCAGATAACATAATATACTTTACATATGAAATATGTTTGAATAATTGACAAAGAGTCCAAGAGTTAAAGAGTTGACAACTATAGATAGTGAGCTATACCTTATGATGTGGAATGTAATGGAGCCAAGCATACCGTGCCTCCCCAGATAACAATAACATTGATCGAGGTGGCAGATAAATAGCCCTCCTTATAAAATTTGAGCTACTGTTGGGATTTTCCACTTGGTTGTCTGTACCTGAATCAGGTTTCGGAAGCGAAACACCTTCTGAATACCTTCGGAACTCCATGATGCAAGGCCCTGCTAATGAAAGGCTGAAAATTAATTCCTCAAATGCAGAATGGGTGTCTATATGTGGGGACAAGCCCACTCCAGAGGGGTACTCATTAACCTGAAATAAACACCAGATAGTTTCGGTCTTAATTATAACAGACCTATAAATGTGCATGATCAGCTAGAACCATAAATAGTGTTGAAGGCTTGATATATTTGTCATGGAACAGCATATTGCATTCTAACCCGGAATAGAATAGAACAAACTATAATGAGGTCAAACCTGTACAATTACATATAACTATCACAATTTGTGGACAGCAGAAACAAATCATTACATACCGTGAGTTGGTCCAGAACTATATTTGCAGCGTTATCAAGATCTGAAATCAACGAGATTCTTTCGAGTATGGGAGAAACGAAGGATGGCAGTTCACCCATGCTTTCCCTTGTATTAATATTCCTTGTCTGTACAAAAAATGGTGGCCAAAAAGGAAATACAACTCTTAGCCAGTCATTAGACTTGTCCTTTATCACAATGTGATCATTAGACCAGCCACTAGACCCTTTTTAACATAAGGCAGACCAGTAAAAGAAATCAGAAAACTTCATCATGTCATGCTTATGAAACAGGAATGAAAAATTCAAAAGTAAAATGAAAAGAAAAGAAATAAAAGATAAATGCACCCGAAAATGCATTTTCTCAACAAATTTACAGCCTTGCAGCATTCTGCAATAAGCCATTCAGATGGTCCTTATCATCAGCAAAAGAAAAGTATTGAAACAGACTACCCTCCTAAGGCCTAATACCATAGATATGTACTCATGTTTTAAACAACTATTCAAATGGAGACTGACTCAGGTGATAGACTGGTTGAATTGCAAAGGATATTCCAAAGAGCAATTGAATGGCTTCAGACTCCTAATAAAGTCAAAAGGTCAAGCAAAGAGTTGGATTAAGGAACTTATGTTTGAGATCAGCAGCTAAAGAAGTGCTGATTGCAATTAGAATAGCAAATTGCAAAGAATAAGAAGATGGTGATAACAATCATGATCATAAAGAATACTATAGAAATTATTAAGCAGGGTGAATGAAACTGAATATAACTTGGTGATCAAGAGCTATAGAATTAAGATCATTTCTGAATTACATATTTAAAGGTCCATACCTGAGGACTCTAATTAAACCTTTGTACTGCTGAATTATGTACTAGAATCCTACCAAGTGAAGTCAATTCTATCAACTTGAAGATATGTACCAAGAAATGATCCAAAAGTAACATTACAAAAACTGCTTTTAGCCTCCAAGTTAACAAAGTCTACTCACGCTACAGAAAAGGTCAAGAAAAACCAGTTTTAAGGGGAAAGGTAATACAAACAACACCACAAATATGTGAATAAGACAGATTAATGTTGAAAGTGTCAGGAGGCTAGTTCACAAACTTCTTATTATATCATCACTTACTTCATATAAAAACTCGTACCCGTAATGTTGAACCCTTCTTTTTGCAAGACTTTTCCAAGGCCTATCATCAACTGCTGCAAGCAATTCCTGAAAAATTTGATCCAAAATCAGATATGTAGGGTGAAGCTCAATAAGCTTCTTGCAATAGTACATCACACAGAATCCAAACCATAAAATGAAATACATGAAATAATGCAAGGATTAATACTGCTAAAAACAAAAAAAACATACCAACCTCCTCTTCTGTGGCAGTGACAAAGTCATGCCACAAGTGAAGGCCTGGAATATTCAACTCTGAAGCTACCAAAGATACTGGAATTGAGTCATTTGTATTAACCTAACAAAAAAGAAGATTTATTTAAGGACAATAAAAAAAAAAGAAAGGTGACGTTCGCAGATTCTGAGTCCCAATGAGGCAGGTATTTTTTCTACATCCGAAGGAGCCCCAATTTGGTATTATGAATCATGTAAAATAGTAAATTAGAAGTGCAGCTAAAACACATCAATGTATCTGCATATACAAGGATTTTAGTCACTACAAAGTGGAATCAAGAAAGCTTATGAACTTTAAAGGCTAAACATCTTCCATGAATATACAAGTTTATTTAAGGAATTTAAATCACCCTAGAAAGGGAGTTAATCCATAAAATGTATATTGGTGTAAACAATGTGTATCAGTGGCATAAATAAAGTGGTAAAATATATTTCTAGATCTCAACTAGAATATATCCTTTATTTAAAATTACCATAATTGACTATCATGATTTTGTCACACCAATTTAAGGAACAATATGGCCCAAAAACATCAACTCAACAGATTCTGAAACAGTAGGACACAGAGTTATATAAAATGTTTAGCTACGCATTTATTATCACTTTATTTGTTTATATAACAAGAAGATAATTTTGATTGTTTAAAAAAAATTGAACTAACATTTGTATAATGAGGAATATGAGACTAGGCATGCTGGATACATTATACATATAATATTCTTCTAGTACTGTACTTGACATTTTTGTGTCTATGATTAGATTCTTGAAGTATGCATTGGACGCTTGAATTGTAGTTGCATCTGTACAGAGTAAAACTTTCTTTTTTCTTTATTTACTTTTAAGAAAACGCTGGAAACTTTAGTGATGCATTTCGACACTTTACTGATACATTCGTCTTATTTTCATGAGTGTCAAGTAATGCCCTCCTTCAGTGAACCAAAGGTATCTAAAACATATCAGCCAAGGATCCAACATAATGAAACTGATTTTTAAATAATGGACCCATCTAATAAGTATCTTAAACAAGTCTGAAAATATTAAAAAATTCTCGGCATCAAACATGTGTCCAACATGGAAATGGCTTATCCATAGAAGCATTTGTGCTACTAAGCCCAAGGGTAGCTTATACAGATTACATGACAATAGGGCCAATTCATTGCAGCCCCAACCCACATGTCTCCGTCTTAATTGCTTCAAATGTGGTTACTTTATACAAAATTTAGCCAAATTTTGAGATAAATGTTTACTCGTATTATAATTCATTTAAAAAATTACACAAAGTGCAAAATATAGTTCAATTCAAGCATAAAATTCAAGAAATTAGACAAAGCACACGCTTAGTACCTGTTTAGGAAGTTGCATTATGGAGTACTGTATGTGCAAGAAACGGCCTCCAAGATCAGGACACGGACGTCTGTTTAAAGCCTTTAAAGCTGTTTGAGCAGAACTCTCTTCAATGTAAGAAACAATAACACGAGTGCCACTCTCATCAGCTGCATAGACTCCATTCACTTCTCCAAAGGTACTGAACACTGATGCAATAGTGTCAAAAGAAAGCCCCACACATGGTCCACAATTGGCCACATAAAGGTTTGGACTTGCCTCGCCATCCAGTCCTTTGGGTCGTTCAAATCGGGGAAAACCCATATACCCAATTTTGACAATGGGAAAAAGTGACTCCTGCTCCAAAGAAAATTAATCATTTAATTACACAACAAGAAATATCATTAAAAAAGCATAAGCATTTGTATAGAAGTAATCATGACTGAAACACATCGAGTTCAGCCAAAACCAAAACTTTCTCAATATTATTCAGAGTCCCAATCAATTAGGTGTGTTGCAGCGTCCATACATATTGTGCACCACAACATGTTTGGCAACAAAGATACAAATAAATCATATAAAAAACACCATTCATGAAAATTGAGTCATCAACAGCTAATGGCACTTCTGGGGTTTGATGAGATTGCACTTCATTTGTTTGCGGAACCAAAAAAAAAAAGGTTTTACGCAAAAAAAAATGAAATGAAGCCACTCAACTCTCAGGGGACATATCCAAAAAAGCCTGAACCTTTGGATAATGTAAACTAAACCCAAGGTTTATTTGAGCCATTAGAATGTCTCAAACAGTTTCATACACAGATGAACATCTCAATCACCATCCCCAACATTGTGTGTAACTATTTATCTACCTATATACATTTATATACAGGCATAAATACACATAATAGTTCTTCTTCAACGATACAAGGTGATTATTTTTGGGTTTGGGGTTGGTTTTGGCATACAAGAGTTCGATTAAAAATAAAAAATAAAAAATAAAAAATTGGGCGTATTCAAATTGTGAATGGTTTTAGCACAATTTCACATACAATAATTGAGAGAGAGAGAGAGATGCCTTACTTGCGGAAGCCCCAACCAGAGAGCTCAAAACCCACCTTCGTCTATTGAACAATCAGATCAGAGAGAGAGAGAGAGAGAGAGAGAGCTTGCTTGAGACTCTTCTCTGGTGGACTCGTGAGAAATTGACTTGGGCTTGGGCCGACCCAGGAAGAGGAGATAGTTGGGCTTAGTAAAATCTGGGCTACTACACCAGCGTGAATCGAATTTTGAAGGCCATACCAAAATTAATTAAAATTAATTTTTTATAAAAGTATGCAACAAAATATTTTTGTAATTATGAATTATATTGATGAAATTTTAATTTATTTTCAATATATAAAATTTTATATTAGTTAATCTTTTTAAAAAAAAAAAATAAATGAAGCAGGTATAATAAGTTACGACAATGCTACGTAGCTCAAATTTTGTGGCTCAAAAGTGGCTCAAATTTTGAGCCACAAAATTTGAGCTACGAGACATTTTCCAATAAGTTAAGAGTTGGGTCATTAGTGTTGTGAAAAAGTAATGTACAATATCGAAATTGAGTCCCTCAATTTATTTCTTTATATCATTTGATATTATAGCTAGACAAAAATTATAACACCTATAAGTTAGAACAAAGTATTTGCGGATTATGAAATGGGACGTGGATGTATATATACGGACAAATGTGAAGCCCTTGTAAGAGCAATGTGAAAATTTTGAAATTGCCAATATTAAGCCCTTACAAGGACAATGTGAAATTTTTGAAAGTATTGAGAGTGAAATAATCTTTTTACAAGTTGTCCTTTTATGATTTAGCCTTCTCAAAACAAGCATTTGATTTTTTTTTTTAAGTCAAAAAATTACTTATTTAGGAAATGTCAAACAGAGCTGAAAATTGCAAATTAAGAAAAAAATAAGATTTGGAAGATAAGTTAAATGGATTTATTTTTCTTTATAAGGTGCAGTTTAAAATCAAAATTGTCGCAAATCTATGAATATGTGGCCAAACTTTAACAACCTGATTTGTAAAATTTGTTGTCAATTTAGTCAAAATTTAACAATGTTTGGCCAAACTAATAATAATAGGCAACCCTCTATTCCTTTAAAAGAAAAAAGAAAAAAGGCAACCCCCTAGTATCCTTTATTTAAATTAGAAAACTTCATTTTCCATGCAAAATTCAAACCATACCCTCCAAGATCATTATTTCAATTAAAAATATCTATTTACCATGCAAATTTCAACATGATAATTTTGTCAAGTTGGTAAATTTAATTTTTCATATAGATTTCTGCCTGTGTAGCACTGCAATTGATTTGCACCACCTCTAGAGCTGATCAATGCTCACAACTCTTTCATGGGGAAAATCCTAGGCAGCCCATTGCCAGAATAAATATGAAGTACAATGATGATATAACATAACATGAATCGAATTTTGAAGGCCATACCAAAATTAAATAAAGGAAAATGTTAAGCATGCAATTTTTAATTTTAATTTTTTATAAAAGTATGTAACAAAATATTTTTGTAATTATGAATTATATTGATGAAATTTTAATTTACTTTCAATATATAAAATTTTATATTAGTTAATATTTTTTTTTTAAAAAAAATAAATGAACCAGGTATAATAAGTTAAGAGTTGGATCATTAGTGTTGTGAAAAAGTAATGTACAATATCGAAATTGAGTCCCATTATTTATTTCTTTATATCATTCGATATTATAGCTAGACACAAATTATAACACCTATAAGTTAGAACAAAATATTTGCGGATTATGAAATGGGACGTGAATGTATATATACGGACAAATGTGAAGCCCTTGTAAGAGCAATGTGAAAATTTTGAAATTGCCAATATTAAGCCCTTATAAGGACAATGTGAAATTTTTGAAAGTATTGAGAGTGAAATAATCTTTTTACAAGTTCTCCTTTTATGATTTAGCCATCTCAAAACAAGCATTTGATTTTATTTTTTTTTAAGTCAAAAAATTACTTATTTAGGATATGTCAAACAGGGCTGATAATTGAAAATTAAGAAAAAAATAAGATTTGGAAGATAAGTTAAATGGATTTATTTTTCTTTATAAGGTGCAGTTTAAAGTCAAAATTGTCGCACATCTATGAATATGTGGCCAAACTTGAACAGCCTCATTTGTTAAATTTGTTGTCAATTTAGTCAAAATTTAACAATGTTTGGCCAAACTAATAATAATAGGCAACCCTCTATTCCTTAAAAAAAAAGAAAAGAAAAGAAAAGAAAAAAGAAAAAAGAAAAAAAGCAACCCCCCAATATCCTCTATTTAAATTAGAAAACTTCATTTTCCATGCAAAATTCAAACCATATCCTCCAAGATCATTATTTCAATTAAAAATATCTATTTACCATGCAAATTTCAACATGATAATTTTGTCAAGTTGGTAAATTTAATTTTTCATATAGATTTCTGCCTGTGTAGCACTGCAATTGATTTGCACCACCTCTAGAGCTGATCAATGCTCACAACTCTTTCATGGGGAAAATCCTAGGCAGCCCATTGCCAGAATAAATATGAAGTACAATGATGATATAACATAACATGATGGTATATATAATTGGCAAATGAGAAATTTCACATTATGGTAGTGAGGATTACCGTACCCTCCAATATCATGTTATCTACCTTCGGCAAAATAAGGTCACAACATACTATTACAGTGTTTGATCCAAGAATACCGATCATTATCGCCATTACACAATAAAACAATGGCAATTAAACCATCACCAAAACTACCTTGTAACCATGAGCAAACCAAACAAAACTTAAATCTCAGCAAGCATATAGTAATGATATCATTTACAGAGAAAGCACTCTTGAAAACCATATCCTTTGTTGTTATTAAGGGGAATTTTGAGGAGAGGCACCACGGCAAGCCTCTCTGCCTATGCACCATACTCTGCTCCGGCTAGGCGTTGCTGTCACCGAACTGGTTTTGGGTTCAGCACACGAGGGCTCCAAATCAGAAGCATTTGTTGCACAAGGGTCGCAAAATTGTCTGTCCACCTTGTTCATCTGGTCAATAAGGGAGTGCCTTATGCGTTGACCAATCACCGGAGAGTCTGAGTCCCTAATGAGATTTATTCCGGGGAAGCTACAGGTTGGCATGGGCGAATTGGGGTTGCTAAAAACATCTTCTTGCAAAATATCTCCAATCCTCGAGAGTATTTTGAATGCCAAGTTTCGAAGAACTCGAGAATATGCTTCTAGAATTGAATGTCCAACATCCTACACGTGGGAATTGAAAGGAAACAACCAAAATTATTCCTTAGTTCTTGCAAAACATTATAAATTTACACAGAATGGTCAAAAAACTTAATCATGGCAGTCAAAGGCATGGAGATAATCAAATAATCTCAGTTACAATAATTTTTTTTTAAAATCACAGATTTAGTAGTGTTTGTTTCCAGCTTGCACAACAATGGTCATATAGCATGAAAATGTTTACCAATATTTTTTTAGAAATTTCACAACAATGGTCATATAGCATGAAAATGTTTACCAATATTTTTTTAGAAATTTTATTAAAATAATGTAAAAAAGGATGGCTTGACCTAATGGTAAGGCTTGGCGTTAGCATCGCTGGTGGAATGGTTCGAGTCACAGAAATAACCTCTCCAGAAATAGGGGTAAGGTAAGGTTGCATACATCATGTCTCAAACCCCGCTTTAGTAGGGGCCCCGTGCTTTAGGTCACCCTTCAAGTGTAATATTGAAAAAAAAAAAAAAAAATTATTCTTTTAATGTTAAAAATAATATTAAAAATCTTTTGAAGGCTATGTAATACAATGGGCTTAAAGCCATTTTAATGGTCAATTTGGTTGGTGGTGTGATAAGACTGGAAAATGGAGTTGTTGAGGATCTGGAAGGTTTTACGAACTCACCTTGCCATATTGGATTTTCACGACATGAAGAAATGTCTGAGCGAGGTTAGGATATCTGGTCTTCAGCTGCTGTATAAGAGCTTCCGCTTTGTCCAATAAAAACTCCATCTTATCCAGTTCAGATATTGGATCCTTTATGAAGGACCATGATGTTCGAGCTGGAGATTTACCACTGGTTTGTTCTGCAATTCTCTCTTTCCATGCTAATACTGCTGCTTCCAATCTATTGGCTGTTTCAAGGGCATTGTGCTCGGATTTCAAGTTGAGGGAGTTGAGCATTTCCTCAGATGATATCGATTCTACATTCAAGATTCTGTACAGTTCTTCACCAAGACTTACCTTTCCCGACTGTAAACATGTATAAAATATAGTCACCTCTCATGGCAAATGCAGCAAACAATTCCTAGTTTGAAGTGTACCGAGCATGTTCATAAGATATTTAACATATGTATAGCAGTGAACAGACAATTGGATAGGAGCTATTTGCATAAGGCTTATATATTTTTTCCATGTTGAGATAATGTTGAATAGCTTAATATACATTGTTGGGTCCATTTCCAAACAACTTGAGCGTTTGGGGCTAGTAGTGATCTAATGTGATATAAGAGCTCAGGTTAGGGGAGGTTTTGGTCCAAATCTCTCCATTTCCCCCTTCACATTCTGCTTCTCTCTATGATCTCCTAACAGTTTAAGCATTTGGGGCTAGTGGCAATCTAACATTCCACTACCAAATTTAAGTAAAAAAACATCGTTTGTTTCAGATTTAAGTGTAAATTTACAAAAATTAAAAATAAAAAACTAAGAGAAATTTTGCTAGGTTTATTGTGAGTTAGAAGTGCTTTGAAATGAAGAAAGTTGCTTGCCTTGGGAAGTGCATCTTTGATGATGGTTGGGACAGGCATTTCAAGCAAGACAGTTTCATTGATGGATTTGGCAGCCTTGAATACTTGGTGCACTACTCTACCTTGATTTAGCAATTTTTTCTTTTCAATTTCAGAGAGGCCACGGATTGGTACTTGGGGCAAAGGAAGCCACCACCTTCTGCTCCTGCTCCTTCCTTCAGCCCGGCTACCTCCTTCTGCATACCAAAACTCAGTGCTAACCATTGAATCTAGCGTCTCCTGTAAGTTTGAGATAGGCAACACGGTGAATTTCGAGTGTGAATTCATAAGTATTTCAAATAATTTTGATGTGAACAGAGAGACCACCCACAATAAGCATGGAGTCCAACTTCTGAAGCGCTGGAAGATTTATACGGATGTCTGCACGAACTTTTGGAGTCATTATCTGCTCTAAAACAAAAACAAAAACAAAAAAACAAAAAATGCTAAGGTTAAATCTGATCTCATAGGGAAAAGAATTTCTATGGACCAAAAGAAATGGAAAATACCTCCATGGTCCGGCCATTGGCATCGTTTTGCTTAGCTGGAACCAACTCAACCATATAGTTGGTAGGGGAGAGTAACCAGTCCATTTCTCTTTGCCATTTGCTCTTTCTATCCTCTGGCAGCGGCTCCAATTTCCACAGCTCGCCAAAAACTGATGCTGCAAATCCATTTATAGGATTTTCAAGGTAACAAACATAACAGAGGAATGGAAACAGAAGAATGAAGTTATACATTATAAAGACTCAGATCAAAGTTAACCTCAAGTTCCTTTTGCAACATCATTATTTAATCTTTGCTGCTACCAACTGGAAATTGACTCCCAATCCAATGCATGTGTTTTATATTTGCACATGCTTACTATTGTAGAATCTTTGAATTTTTTTTTAAATTCAGAAAAATCACTCTAAGTCTCAGTGTGTATGCCCTTGGATGCAGATATAAATTATATTTATGTGAGAGATAGAGAGAGTAGATTGTCAGCATCTTCACAATTTCTGTGAAGCGAAATTTCTCCATCTTCCTCATATCAATATCGTTTCAATCATAACTCCAACAAAATAAAATTAGTTATAATATTGACACTAATGACTAAGCCTCATGTTTCAATCAGAATGTTTTATACTGCATATATTGCCAAAAATACCCCTAAAAATTGGGATAAATGCTTTTTGAGTTGAGTATTAACAAAAATATATTACAAACCAATAAAACATCAACTCATATTTTGGTTAAGGAAATGAATATTTTTATGTACCTGCAAGATTTGTTATTGCATTAGACAATGCTAATGCAGTGGAGAGCCCCTTGCATCCCCCTGTAATATCTTCACCCAACAACAACTTTGCAAATCTTTCTTTCATTGTTTCAACATCTGAAAACTGAACACCATAAACAGGTTTTTCTTTGACATAAAAATGTTGGGGGCTTTCTGTGGCCTCCCATTCATCCAGTCCCTGCTCATCCCTCTTCATCATCGTCCAATGAGAAGAGAATGATCCAAAAGCATTATTGCTAGAAGAACAGCTTGAGGCATCTTCATCGAAGGAGTCAGTTGCACACCCATCTCCCCTGCTTGTGCCGCTTTCATTTTCGTAAGAACGACTGTTAAGAATGCAACTCTCTAGGCCATTATATGTCATTATTCCTGAAAGTTTCCATTTGTCCTACACTTAGTCACACGTCAAAAGAAAGGCAATGCAGTATTTTTGTCTTCTTTTTGCAGTATTAACATTAATATTACTGTTGCTATAGAGAATACAACAAACATGCATGTGTCTATTTGGACTACAGAAGAATACATGTGAAATTTTCTTCAACTAAAATGTTGATTTTTAGATTGTGTTTAGATTTATGGATTTGAAATAGACGATTTGAGCACTCATCATTCAAGGAGATCAGCACAATTCAGATATGATAGTTTAGATATGAATTTCCATACTGTATTTGAGAGCTTTTCCACAATGAATTATGACGGATTTGAAATAACAATGTAAAAGTAGTTACTTGAAATCCTTCATACTGAGGATCATACTTGCATAAAGATCATAATAAAACTATTCTTTTCTTACTCTACTCTCTATCTTCCCCTTTAAATTCTTAATCTATTTATAAAGTCTACGCCAAATCCCTTCATTTGAAATTCATTTCTACAAAAGGAAATTTAGTGATTTATTATGCTAGCAAACATTAGCATCAGATTCTAAAAGTTACTGACAAAGACAGCCCTATAATGAAGCATTGTTTGACGGATGATTTTTGTTTTGTGAATCACTCTCATCAATGTTATGAATAATCCTATCATGCATTTCTTTGTGCCTTCCAAATTAGTTCCATCTGCCTATGAAACTTAGAAGACAAATTCAAACCTGGAATCAAGTCGTTACAGAAATATGGATAACCAACTTAGTTAGTTCAAAGCTGAAATGACAAGATTTCAGCTACTCCTGAAAATGATTCCCTATGGCATAAAACTATGTGAGCGGTTTCAACTGCCAGAGTGAAAATAGGATTTATTTTGAAACAATAATTAATGATTTCATTCCATTTCCAAGGGACATCCACCAGTGCCCCTAGTAGTATTTGAGTACAAGATACAATATTACTGCATTGTTCGCAGGAATGGGTAAAATAATAATGAAGAATCACACAAAGATTGTAACAACCTTCAGAATATCAAGATACCCACAAGGCGGTCACAAGATTTCACTAATCAAGTAGATATAGTACAGAATTGCTACTTAACAACTCTCCTACCAAAATACAGATTTTGCACAGCTTGTGTGGTTCACAAATGTCAACATGGCAGATAAGCAGTCAAATTTGTCTTTACTAAGGAAGAGTTAGGTGTAAGCACATGCAAATGCAGTTTCTATTAGCAAATGCTTTGTTCAAGGAAACCAAGAAATATTTAAAACTAGAAGCCTCTACAATTGACTTTAGATTCAAACAGCCCTACAAGTCAGGCACATCAATTTGAAGCAAGCATCCAATAGTTCAAAATCCCATCGTTCAATGGGCTCCATGAAGGACATACCCATATAGCAGGTACACTAATATTTCCTAATAAGTTATTTTTCTTCTTTTTGCTTGTATATTTCATTTTTATTTGTCCTTTTATTTTTTTTATATATATCAAAAAAATTTCCCACAAGGTATTTAAAACCAAATGGTCCAACACACATCCTGATTTTTGAATACGTATAGTTCAGATCTAGAAGAGGGAACCATTAACTCTGGATCTGGATCCTTTGGTCAACAATCAAATTTGAAAAGAACATGACATACTCAAGAAGTTGTAGTTAATTTAGGTCTACAATTTCCCTTAAAAAGTGGTAGGTGGGATATTTGTGCTCAAAAACTCGAACCACAATAGAAACAAAAAGAAATGAAATACATGATTGAGGGAATCCCCATAATAGAAGCTGATCCAAATACAAACTAAAATAACTCTTATTTTGAAAAGTCATACTGACAATGACATTTGTGTCCCCACATAGTTATTTCACTGTCTCTATGAAGTGGGACTGGTATTAGTAAAATATTAATAGCACTTCAAATGAGGACCACCACTGATATCAATCAAACTAATAAACAAAAACCATGCACTTTCCATGGGCTCTGTGCTAGAAGGTTATTGATAAATCACAATCACTTTATTTACGATATCTATGATCTTCACACTTCCCATCCTAAAAAACAAGAGTAAAGAAATTCAAAAGAATGGGGTCCTTGCATGTGCCTCCGAGTTTAATATACTGGACACAATAAATGGGTCCCACCTATAAGGCCGAACATGGGGAGAAAAATGGTATTTTTTTTTACCTATTGTAACCTGTTGATGCTTTTGATTTATTTTTCACATCTTAAAATTATTATTATTATTATTATTATTATTATTTTAAATTCATGCACCGAAATATCTCCAAGTCCACAAAAAAGGGATGATTTTAGTTCTGTCAACATTCGTGCGAAAATTGAAAAATGGAAAAAAAACTTTAAACTCAACCGGGGTGGCAACCAAATTAAAGTCAATATAGATAGAAATTTCTAGGCTCTTTCCTTGGAAAATTCAATTATTTCCTTGATTTAAGCTTTCAAGCCTAGAAAATTGGCAAAAGATTAAATATTAATATTTGCTAACTAACTTTTCAAAAAGTATAATATTTGCTAACTAATATCATATAATTTGAAGCCGAGTAAGGAAGAAAATTAGTAAGCAATTTGGCATCTGCTTCTAAGCCGGCTATTTTTTTGTCTTGTTAAGAGTTTTTTCAATTAAAATTCATTTATCCAAAAACCTCTAAGAAGTTTTTAAGAACATAATTGAAATATTTTGAATTTGTAGCAATAAAGTTGTCACATGTATCAATTAGGACTATGTGCTATATCAGAAGAAATCAAACCTAAGATGTTAGAGTTTACTGTTCATCCCATGGAAAACCCTTTTATCACTAGGTTACCCACACGGGTTGCATTTGGCCTTTAGCCAACTCCTTGTGTTGGGTACATTACAATAGTCAAGACTAAGATTGCCATCCATGGCCCATCCCATGCAGGCCAGAGAGAAATTGGCATAAATTATGGAAGATTTGAATAGTCTCTAGAGAGAGAGAGAGAGAGAAAGAGTGCCAAGGAAGCTTACTCTCTTGTTCATCAAAGTCAAGGCTAATCTCTCTGTCCCGAGAACAGCAAGCCAGTCTCCTTCTCATGATCATCATCTTTTCTTGTACCCTAGTTGATCTTCACAGCAAATTTCAGCGGAACCCAGATAACTGGTCTGGTATATTCCAAAAGCTATGGCTATGCACCAACCCCTACAATAAATAAAATAGTACATTTTTAGATTTTCCAACTTACAAATTGGTCATAAGAAGTGTGTTGTCAGTGAGCCAATAACTGAACTGGTTCACAACTTCACATTGATTATCACTATTGCCAAATCAATAATGACTATTCCTACAATAATGCACAAAAATTTACCATAGGGCTGGTAATAAGACTGGCCTGTTCATTGCCAACATTGCTATATGCACAGAATTAAAACACAAAAAAATGCGTTGTATGGTTTATATTTATTTTAAGCATGGCCTACATCAAACTCGAGATGGATCTCATTCCCACATTATACTTTTTGTGCATTTTTTGAGTTTTAATTCTGTGCAACTATTATTTCTGTTTGCCGACTTAAATCATGAGGACTCCATAAATCTTAACAACTGGCTAACACTATGATTAAGCTTGTCCTAGATTAGCTTTAACTGCTAATCAAGACAATACTTTGAGGGCATGTTTGATTAGGTGGATTAGAGTATGGGATTGGGATTATTAATCCGTGGGCCCAATTATCCTATGTTTGTTTTAACATTTTGGTTTAAGATTATTAATCCAATGGATAATTAATCCAACAAATTTGTAGGATTATTAGTAATGGGGTAGGGGTGGGATTATTAGTAATGGGGTAGGGGTGGGATTATTAATCCAATGGATATTAATCCAATTGGATAGTGAATACCACACTAATTAGAATTATTAATACTTCACTATTAATTTTGTGAATCAAACATGACCTGAGGGGCCATGGAATCTTTGTTTCAAAAATTCTCAACACACTCTCACTCGGATTAGTTGTTTCAAAAATCTCTGTCCCTTATCCTAATGCACTCTAAATTGCATGTAATGGGAATCGTGAGACACAATCACATGACCAAGAATGCATTGAGATAAGAAGACAGAGAGGTTTTTGTAACAGATGATCCCATGCCACCTTGAGGATCTGTCAAAAAGCATGATATTAAAGTTATACATCATTAATTTGAATGAATGCTCCAACATAGGCCCACCCTAAGGTTTATTTTCTTTCACTATTTTGGAGTGTAATTGGAGTAATTATAAAGAAACACCCTTTTCAAATCGATTGCCATTGAAGATTAAAAATAAAAAGTAAAAAAAACAAAACACGCACAAACAATAACAATAAAAGAAAGAAAGAAAAAAAAAATCAAGTGCTGACTCAGTTGACTCGGACATTACAGAGTCTAAAGAACGAGTTAACATTGAGTCAGGGAGTTCACACCCAGAAAAGACTCACAAGAACGCCATTGGCGTTTCCTTTAAATCATTTCATAAAATGGGGAAACAAAAAAACAAAAAATAAGTTAAAAAAACCTTTTGGACATAAGCAAACAACTTTTAGTTCAAAAAATTTTAAAAAATAATAATCAAACAACTTTTTGAGCAAAAAGCTCCATTTGTGTAAGCTTTTTTTCGGCTTTACAATCAAAACCCTATCCAAAAAATTGGCCTTTTTCGGCTTTTGCATTGTGCCTCTGAGATTTACTCTCTGCTTCACTGACCTCTAAACAGAGGAAACAATTAAAAAAAAAAAAATGGTGGATCAAATGTTAGCAAAAGATTTAAAAACTTGCTTGATTTTCTTTAAAAAAAAAAAAAAAAAAAAATTGTGATAAGAGACGAGAAAGAGGCAAACTTGGGGAACAAAAAATCTGGGTTTTTTGGATTGTTTAAACGCGAAGCTTCGCCGAAATCGGAGCTCTTTGTTTGTGCTGTAACAAATCGAACTTAAAAGAAGAAGAAGAGTGTGAAATGAAATACGAACCTTAGATGAAGAAATCGAAAGAGAAGTCTGGAGTTGGAACTTGTTTCAGAGCTGCATTTGATGAGAAACCCAGTTCCAAGACGCCATCATATCTGATTCCACGTTATGGGTTGGTTGGAGACAGGGAGAGAGATAGGAAAGAGAAAGGGGAGAGAGTGAAAATGCAGGTAAATGTGTCTGAACCAGGAAGGGTAAGATATACACAGTGAGGACTGAACTGGCATTGAATTCAAATTAATTTTGTCATTGCTTCACACAGTGAGAGAGAGAAGAGAATTTGGGTCGATGGCATTTAATGGAGAGAGAGAGAGAGAGAGAGAGAGAGGAGTGCAATGGAATGGACGCAAGGGCTATACCGTGGCTAATGGGGATTCAGTACCCTTTCATTTGGGTCGGGTGGGTCCGGTTCCGGAAGAGCCGAATTTCAATAATTTAAAGAATTATTATTATTTTTTTTTGAACTAAAAAGGTGGATAAAAAAAAAAAATGAACATGGTAAGAAAGTGGATGCTTGATATGGGGTTCCCTTTAGGCCGATGCACCAATAAATCTCAAATTAATAATTTATACACTGTTTAGTCTTAAAAGTTTTTTTGTAAATTGAAAGGTCCCATTATAATATTTCAAACATCAGATTAATGTTTCGAACATTAGATTTCGAATATCAGATTAATGTTTCGAACATTGGCTTTCGAACATCATATTAATGTTTCGAACATTAAATTGATGTGCAAATGAGACTAAATGGAGCATAAGAAAACTTTTAGGACTAAATGGTTCAACTTTTCAGAAACTAGGACTTATGCGTAAATTTTCTTTTCCTTTATGGGGCGACATTTATATATATTTTATTTTAAAGGAAGGTGTCCTCATTAATTTATGCCCAATTTGATTAATTTTATGATTTGAAATAAATGATTTGATAAATCTCTAATAACCTTTGAAATAACATTATATGATTTGACTACGGAATGAGATCATGCCTTCATTTGGGATGTGAATTGATTTTTGATTTTTTAATTTTTTGACTATTTTAATTTGAGATTAAAAAGTTTCGTTTGAAATAATTTTTTTGCTTTTTGTAAGAGAAAAATAAAATGATTATGATTTAAATATAATATTTTATCTTATTTAGCTAAAATAATCAATTTTATTCTATATAACTATTTTAACCAAAATGACCATGCCAAACATAACCTACAATAATGTTTGTTCACGCCCTTATTTTAGTTTATAAGGTTGAGTAATGCTAACATTTTTTGATTTGAAATAAATGATTAGATAACATGATTGGACCATGGAATGAGAGTGCCATTTTAGGAACATGATAAAAAGTCACGTTTTTGGATACGCTGCCAAAAACGCCAGAAAAGTTATTTGGGAAGTGTCAAAAACGCAGTCGTAAAATTACAAATTAGGGCCTATGAAAAAAAAATAAAAAAATAAATCTCTTATGTTGGGTAAAGGTATTTTAGTCATTTTAGTTTGATTTGACACCATAAATAAATATTAAACTAAAAAGAAAAAAGTCAGTTTTTTACCAACTTTCCAAATCACTTCTAAAAAAGCTAAAAAGCTTGGTAAAAAGTCAAAAGTCAATTTTTTACTAACTTTCCAAAACAACGATAAACAAATAGTTTATTTGCTTATTTTTGTGACAAGTTATCATGTCATCTCTCTATTATTTACATGTCTTTTTGTAAAAAATTAAAAATCACTAAGTCATATCCAAACATTCCTTAATTTTTTTTTAAAAATTAATTCTTTGTGTATGATTTTCTTAGCTAATAATTATAAAAAAATAAAATTTTAAAACAAAATTCATCTCTATTTGAGAATTGTTAAAAAAATTTACTTTTTTCTCAAATTTTTATCTTTAGGGATTTTTTTTAAAAAAAATTGAATTTTAAAAAAATTAAGTTTCAAATCCTTCTTGTGTAGAACGATCTATAAAAAGTTCAACCAAAAAAAAAAAAAAAGAAAGAAGAAAAGAAAAAAAGAAAGAAAAAGAAAAGAAAAACCACTAAAACCAAAACATTTTTTTTTTTTTTTGGAAGAAAACACACACATTAAAATTTTTGTGGTAATGATTGTGGCTCACAAAACTTTAGTGCGACATCCTTATTCTCTCTAACAAAAAAAATAAAAAAATGAATCCAACCCTTAAAATTAGAGTGAATCTTGTCTCTACTAATAAAGAGTCGCTTTAATTATCATATCATTAATATAGTTTTTGAATTTAGAAAATATTATAAATCTCAAATAATTTATTAAATATTTTACTAAATCTTTTACCTAAGTGTGGGACTTACACAAATTCGCATATGTCATATGAAAGATTTGGTAAAATATTATTTAAAATGCCTAACATTATTTTTAAAATTTTGAATTTATGAAGAGAATAAAAAAATAAACAAATTATGTCCATAGTCCATTCATTTTAGCGCGACACCCTATTCACTTTTTTCACTTAAGGTTGTCTATTCTTTTTTGTATGAATCTTTTATTTATTTATTTTAATTTAATTTTTTAAGATATATTATTAATTAAATTAAATTAAATTGATACAATATAAAAAATTTAAAATTAATACAATTAAAATTAAAATTAAATAAATCAAATTATCGCATGAAGCAAAACATATGAATCATAAATAATAAGAAAAATAATATTGAAAAACGAAGTCCACCCACGTGATTCAATGTGATTGGTTAGTGCATGGGCCACAAAACTATGCACAAATCAAAACAAGCCATGTCTACAAGTTTTGTTTTAAAAAAATTGAAAAAGTTAAAAAGAAAGTAAGAGATTATTTTATTTTATTTTTTCAAATTGTGATGAATTGAGAGAGAGGGGCAGCAGGAGCCTCGATCCATAATTTAGGGGGGCCATGATAGGCGCCGGTAGGGAGGGGGTTGGTCTAAGCGTCGCGACTGGGGCGTCCCCATCATTGTTAATTTGTTACCATCACTTGATTTTGTAAGTGGGGTGTGTCCGTTTTAATTTTGTCTCGTCCGCGCTGAGGCCGCTCCAAATTCTCGTCACATTCCACAACACTACAAAACAAAACAACTTGGGTCATTGCTGTACTTACGGTCTTTTAAAAATATTGCATAAAATATATTTATAAAAAATTAAATTAATCAGATGTTAATCCTTCTTTCATTAAATCGCAATTTTGAAGAATGGAGAAATTGTTCGAGGGGTCATCACTTGTATCATTTTAATGATTTAAATAATTTATTTTATCGGGTCTTAGATATATATATATATATATTATATTTGATACGCAAAACATAGGGTTAAAAAAAAATTAGATCGATTCGATATTCATAATATCTCTATTTTATTGCATGAAAAATAATTGGAAATTCTAATAAATGAGCTTTAATGAGAGTGGATCCCACTGTAACGTGATGTTTTGGCATTGATTTTATTTTATTTTATTTTTTTTATTCTCTACCACATCATTAGAGTTTCAAAATTAGAGAGATGTACAATTGCTCTTATCGCATTTAGGCCCCGTTTGTTTTCAGAAGTAGAATGGAGGGGATTCATAATGAAGGGATTGTTAGTGAGGGGATTAATAGTGAAGGGATTAAGTAAAATTGTGTTGTTTTAATGATAGTTGTTAGTGTAGGAATTGTTAAATTATTTTTATATAAAATAATAAAACAAATAAAAAAATATAAAAAATTAAACATTAATGTTTAAAAAAAATTCCCAATATGTAAAAAATAAAAAAATAAAAAAATTTCTAATCCTCTCATTATTTTTCTAATATCACCTCCATCTCCTCCATCTCAAACCTCCTTTCAACCTCCATCTTAATCCCCTCATCCATCCTAATCCCTTCCCAAACTTTACAAATAAACACAACACTAAATAACCCCACACTACAAGAATTAACATTTTTAGCAACAAAAAAAATTGGTCGCTAAAAGTCTATTTTTGGTCGGAAAAAGTTATCCGCGACCAATTTTTTTGGTCGCTAGTTTGGTCGCCAATTGAGGGTCGGCAAAAGTAATTCGCGACCAAAATTTTCGTTGGTCGGCAAAAGTTGGATTTGCCGACTAAATTTTTGGTCGCTAAATATTTAATTACCGCGACTAATTCATTTTGTCGCTAAAACACTTTGGTAGCGAAAAGTCGCCTTTTGCCGATCAAATTTCTTAGTCGCCAATTGACACATTTCGCGACCAAAAAATTTGGTCGCCAATTGTGACATTTCGCGACCAAATTTTTTGGTCGCCAATTGTGACATTCTACGACCAAAATTAGTTTGGTCGCCAATTGTTATTTTTCGCGACCAAAACTGTTGGTCGGCAAAAGTGAGTTTCCACGACCAACAAAATTTTTGGTCGGCAATAGATGTATTTTTTGCGACCAAAACTCTTGGTCGGCAATTGCTATTTTTTGTGAAAAAAAATAATTTATTTGTCGCGACTAATAAATTGGTCGTCAAAGCAGGAAAACAATATACCTGTAATTCCTAATAATTCATTCAATCCATAATAAACCTATAATTTTAAAGCATCATTCAAATTAACGGATGCTGTAGAGGCTCAACACTCCAGAACTATTTTATCTTAATATATTGTTATGCTTTGTTTACCAAAAAAGAAAACAAGGTGTGCAAAACCTCTCTAATAAATAATATCAAAATTTTCTTTTATTTCTTTCTCAAGCTATGTAAGGGCACAAGTTCATAGCATATTCATCGTCATGTGATGAATGTGTCAGGAAAGAAAAAATTATAGAAAAATAAAATATATTTTTACAAAATTTTCTCATAAACTAATGTAACATCAAATAATAAATTTTAAAATTTTAACATAAAGCCAAGCTCTTCATATCTCATGTCAATCCTCATAATCATAATCCACACCATAGGCTCCGCAGCTTTCAACACCTTCACCGTAATCAGTCTTGTGGTCAAATTCATTATCATACTTAATTATTTCAGACTCAATCTGTCGATGCTAAACTTCTTGTTAAACTTTGTATCGCATTTTGCAATTATGCCTTCCGTGTTGGCATTCTCGGCACCTTGGCTCTATAAAGACATTGAAATGGATGTATAGAAATACATTAGCCAACTCTCAGTGTAGCTTTGTCTCATAGCAAGTAATAAATTTCAGATTAATGGAACAAAAATAACAGTAAAATAACATGGCATCATATTGTAACTTGATTTGTTAGATTTGAAATTGAGAATTCATGTAAATATGATGAATAATCCCACCAAATGATTATTTCAATCCTTCCATCTAACTTGAGCCAAACACACGCGGCTTATCATCATACAATTACTTGTTTTAGAAACTGTATTTGAAAAAAAACATTAGAAAATGACAATGACGACTGTATTTTCCTCCACGTCTCGTTTTCATTTATAAAAAGGGCTGCAACCTTCATTGGCAGGAAGAACTGAAGTTTCCTTTGTTAAGTGCGCCATATTATTACCATAGGACAACGTTGGTTGGAGTCATTGCAATGGAGCTGAAGTCTTGTAAAATTCAGTGGGAAGGTAAGTTTATATTCAAGTGACCATTAACTTGAGGTCGAGACCATTTGTGTTGTGGGGATTGGTATTTATCAATTTGTTCTACCCTTCCAATTCTTATTTTTGATTTGTTCCCATCACTAACCAAACCAAACTGGCCCAATACACATCGGTTGGATTTGGTTATTTAGTTTTCCCATTAACTATGGTGCATATGGCCACAAAATGGATAGGTTTGGTTGGAGTCATTGCAATGGAGCTGAAGTCTTGTAAAATTCAGTGGAAAGGTAAGTTTATATTCAAGTGACCATTAACTTGAGGTTGAGACCATTTGTGTTGTGGGGATTGGTATTTGTCAATTTGTTCTACCCTTCCAATTCTTATTTTTGATTTGTTTCCATCACTAACCAAACCAAACTGGCCCAATACACATCGGTTGGATTTGGTTATTTAGTTTTCCCATTAACTATGGTGCATATGGCCACAAAATGGATAGGTTTGGCTCACATCTCATAATCAAACCATAAAGCACTTCCGAGAGTACAAAGAATGCGGCATTGATGACATACTAGGAGATTTATCTCTGCAGCTAATAGGGTATTCCATGAGCTTTCAGCATTTCACATGCTATGTAGTATATGAACTACCGACATTTTTCTACTATATAAGTTCAGAACTCTGAATTAATGTTTTCTCTCTCCCCCCTATGCTTATTTAGATTTTTTATTCAAATCATTTCAGTGCAAAAAGTGGTGCTAATAGAAGAGACAAAGTGAACGGATGTGAGGATCCTCTGAGGTGCAAACTAGAACAGTTTTACGGCGAAATGAGGGTTAAATATTCCTACCAGAAAATGAAGCAGGACAGCGTGTCTCAATCTCCTGAGTTTTACATGCTTCAATTGAATGGCACTCTTTGAGATCAGACAAATGCATGTATTCAATATCTAACTTGGCAACATATTCAACAATACAACAAAGGGCTTTACATGTGTTTATTTGTGTAATCAGTACATTCAAAGGACTCCACATCTAAACTAGTGCTCGTTCTTCTATGATTTTACTTACAGAAAGACTATAGCAGTCAAAAGGCCGTGAGTACAATAAAACAAATGTTATTGGTTTTGTTGTCAAATCAATTTCATCTCATTAGCTACATATCATGGGTATTTACAACATCATGATCATGACTATTAACCAACTTTTGCTCCAAATTACCTACACTCGAAGAGGGTAATACCTGAAAGAAAGGAAACAAAGAAAAGGCAGCATTACCGTTTCATGTTTACTATTCATTTGTTCCCAAATAATCTTTTTGTAATGCATCTCTTCCTTACTGTGCAGATATTTGTCAACCTGTAAAAAATTTGACATTGTTTCGAAGTTATAAATTCACTGATCTGATAAGTCAATCAGGTAACATTTACCAATTAAGTCAAGAACACAACTTGCTTTAAAACTTGCAGCATACCTCAACATCATCGATATCAGAAAGGCTTTCTGACTCGTCAATTGCTGCCATTCTACTCAGATGCTCATATCTATGCAGCTGACCAGATACCTTGTTACCATCTTGGCATCCATCAGAAGCTCCTGAAACATCAGAATGTTACTTTGACTTAAGCTTTCAAGTTTAATCCCTAAAATAATGCATGACAGGAATTTCATGAGAACAATTCGTTACCCTTTTGGGTATTCAAGAATCCACTTCTTACAACATCTGCACGCACTTTCGAGGACGGTGTTACTTTTTTCTCTAACTAAAAAAAAACATGAAAACAGAAGTGTGTGGAAAGATAAACTTGATCCAAGATCTCTCTTACACACCTTAAAGTCATTAGTTTATCAATCACGGAACAGAAACAAGGAGTAATGAGGAAGAAAAAGCTGCATAATCCTAAATTACTTCTAACAGTATATTTGAATATATATCTCAACCATAGTGAAAAATTCAGAAAATGGGAAACAATGCACAAGATTGTGAGCAAAATGTCTTTGTAAGTCTAAGGAATGGAGGCAAAGGTCTTTTAGTTTATACAAATTACAATACACATTTCATGAGAAGAAAAAAAAAAAAAAAACATGATATTTATCTTTAAAATTTGAATATGCCATGCCTTTAGCTCATTGGGTTGGGATCATATATTTCCAAGCTAGGGAGGGATTTAGGAGATAAATGGCAGGAGAAGTTGAAAGTATATACAACTGAATTCTGATCTCATTACCCTGAATTAGACATGCTGCTAGTTTAGTTTTCCACATCTTTTTTATGCTTCAAGAGTCAAAAATCTTTTTTTTCTTCTTTTTTCATTTTTAAGATTTTCTGCGCATGGGCTCAGCTAGTGTTCCATGGGCCTTCTTTTGTGTCACATTATTGTGTTTTTATACATGATCCTTAGTTTATTACTTTGTTTAGATCAATTCTGTAACTCAATTACCTTAGGGGTCGTTTCTTAGTGTTGTCTTCATGCTGAATACCATATACTCTTAATGCAAAAGAAGGGCACTTAACCCTTGAAAGAATCACCAAGGAATTGCAAGCTAACGGTTTATACGTGAAGAACAGCAACCTTATCTTGAGACTACTTAGAAAACTCAAGAATGCAATCAAACAAGATACAACAACAACACCTAGTGGACTAACACACATCCCATTGATAAAAAAATAAAAAATAAACAAAAAAAAATACCATAACAAGAAACTTAATTGCAAGAATTGCCTAATGGGGTGACGTTTCTACGATCTAAAACAAGAAACTTGTTAGAACCATGGTGGAGATAGAATTGTGGTTCCAACTGGGATGAGACCACTCAAACATATGAATCTCGAAGAAACAAAAAAAATAAACAAATAGTAAATCTATCAAGGCAAAAGTGTCGAAACACATCACTTAAAAAACACACAACTGAACTCAAACTTACTGCGAGTTTTGCGCGGCACCTCCATCCCCACTGTAAAGGGCGAAAATGTTATCAAAACCCTAATTACAAAAAAACCCAATTGAGAAAGTAAACAAGGAGGAGGACATACGAGTCTACAAGTATCGAAGGTGAAGTCAGATACGCCGTGTTTATTGAAGAAGTCGGTGGCCTCGTCAAGGATGATCGGATGGTGGAGATTGTACTCTTGAGTGCAACCAGAACACCTGCAAAAACAGGACTTGAATGGATAAGAATTCAAACCAGGACTTGAATGGACAAGAATTCAAACCAGCAGAATTCAATCCAGGATTTAGTGAGTGGTTTAAAGAGCAAAATATAAATAGCAATAAATGTAAACCAGCAGAATTCAAACCAGGACTTGAATGGACAAGAATTCAAACCAGCAGAATTCAATCCAGGATTTAGTGAGTGGTTTAAAGAGCAAAATATAAATAGCAATAAATGTAAACCAGCAGAATTCAAACCAGGACTTGAATGGACAAGAATTCAAACCAGCAGAATTCAATCCAGGATTTAGTGAGTGGTTTAAAGAGCAAAATATAAATAGCAATAAATGTAAACCAGCAGAATTCAAACCAGGACTTGAATGGACAAGAATTCAAACCAGCAGAATTCAATCCAGGATTTAGTGAGTGGTTTAAAGAGCAAAATATAAATAGCAATAAATGTAAACCAGCAGAATTCAAACCAGGACTTGAATGGACAAGAATTCAAACCAGCAGAATTCAATCCAGGATTTAGTGAGTGGTTTAAAGAGCAAAATATAAATAGCAATAAATGTAAACCAGCAGAATTCAAACCAGGACTTGAATGGACAAGAATTCAAACCAGCAGAATTCAATCCAGGATTTAGTGAGTGGTTTAAAGAGCAAAATATAAATAGCAATAAATGTAAACCAGCAGAATTCAAACCAGGACTTGAATGGACAAGAATTCAAACCAGCAGAATTCAATCCAGGATTTAGTGAGTGGTTTAAAGAGCAAAATATAAATAGCAATAAATGTAAACCAGCAGAATTCAAACCAGGACTTGAATGGACAAGAATTCAAACCAGCAGAATTCAATCCAGGATTTAGTGAGTGGTTTAAAGAGCAAAATATAAATAGCAATAAATGTAAACCAGCAGAATTCAAACCAGGACTTGAATGGACAAGAATTCAAACCAGCAGAATTCAATCCAGGATTTAGTGAGTGGTTTAAAGAGCAAAATATAAATAGCAATAAATGTAAACCAGCAGAATTCAAACCAGGACTTGAATGGACAAGAATTCAAACCAGCATAATGCAGTGGTAAAATCATGGTCAACGTCAAACTCGTTCATTAGGTTGCTAAAATACGCATTTCCTTGATATTCCATCTAAAGCACAATTGTTCATACCACACAAAAAGAATAGTGAAAAAAAAAAGTATCAATTCATGGCCTAATTCCAAAAATAATGAATTAGGGAATGGTGGACATAATTGGAACAAAGTAATTTTAAATTGGAACAAATCTGATTCATAATGGACATAATTGAACATCTTTGAAAGTAATTTAAAATTGGAACAAATCTAATTCATAATGGACATAAACATCTTTGAAAGTAATTTAAAATTGGAACAAATCTAATTCATAATGGACATAAACATCTTTGAAAGTAATTTAAAATTGGAACAAATCTAATTCATAATGGACATAAACATCTTTGAAAGTAATTTAAAATTGGAACAAATTTGATTCATAATGGACATAATTGAACATCTTTGAAAGTAATTTAAAATTGGAACAAATCTGATTCATAATGGACATAAACATCTTTGAAAGTAATTTAAAATTGGAACAAATCTGATTCATAATGGACATAAACATCTTTGAAAGTAATTTAAAATTGGAACAAATCTGATTCATAATGGACATAAACATCTTTGAAAGTAATTTAAAATTGGAACAAATCTGATTCATAATGGACATAAACATCTTTGAAAGTAATTTAAAATTGGAACAAATCTGATTCATAATGGACATAAACATCTTTGAAAGTAATTTAAAATTGGAACAAATCTGATTCATAATGGACATAAACATCTTTGAAAGTAATTTAAAATTGGAACAAATCTGATTCATAATGGACATAAACATCTTTGAAAGTAATTTAAAATTGGAACAAATCTGATTCATAATGGACATAAACATCTTTGAAAGTAATTTAAAATTGGAACAAATCTGATTCATAATGGACATAAACATCTTTGAAAGTAATTTAAAATTGGAACAAATCTGATTCATAATGGACATAAACATCTTTGAAAGTAATTTAAAATTGGAACAAATCTGATTCATAATGGACATAAACATCTTTGAAAGTAATTTAAAATTGGAACAAATCTGATTCATAATGGACATAAACATCTTTGAAAGTAATTTAAAATTGGAACAAATCTGATTCATAATGGACATAAACATCTTTGAAAGTAATTTAAAATTGGAACAAATCTGATTCATAATGGACATAAACATCTTTGAAAGTAATTTAAAATTGGAACAAATCTGATTCATAATGGACATAAACATCTTTGAAAGTAATTTAAAATTGGAACAAATCTGATTCATAATGGACATAAACATCTTTGAAAGTAATTTAAAATTGGAACAAATCTGATTCATAATGGACATAAACATCTTTGAAAGTAATTTAAAATTGGAACAAATCTGATTCATAATGGACATAAACATCTTTGAAAGTAATTTAAAATTGGAACAAATCTGATTCATAATGGACATAAACATCTTTGAAAGTAATTTAAAATTGGAACAAATCTGATTCATAATGGACATAAACATCTTTGAAAGTAATTTAAAATTGGAACAAATCTGATTCATAATGGACATAAACATCTTTGAAAGTAATTTAAAATTGGAACAAATCTGATTCATAATGGACATAAACATCTTTGAAAGTAATTTAAAATTGGAACAAATCTGATTCATAATGGACATAAACATCTTTGAAAGTAATTTAAAATTGGAACAAATCTGATTCATAATGGACATAAACATCTTTGAAAGTAATTTAAAATTGGAACAAATCTGATTCATAATGGACATAAACATCTTTGAAAGTAATTTAAAATTGGAACAAATCTGATTCATAATGGACATAAACATCTTTGAAAGTAATTTAAAATTGGAACAAATCTGATTCATAATGGACATAAACATCTTTGAAAGTAATTTAAAATTGGAACAAATCTGATTCATAATGGACATAAACATCTTTGAAAGTAATTTAAAATTGGAACAAATCTGATTCATAATGGACATAAACATCTTTGAAAGTAATTTAAAATTGGAACAAATCTGATTCATAATGGACATAAACATCTTTGAAAGTAATTTAAAATTGGAACAAATCTGATTCATAATGGACATAAACATCTTTGAAAGTAATTTAAAATTGGAACAAATCTGATTCATAATGGACATAAACATCTTTGAAAGTAATTTAAAATTGGAACAAATCTGATTCATAATGGACATAAACATCTTTGAAAGTAATTTAAAATTGGAACAAATCTGATTCATAATGGACATAAACATCTTTGAAAGTAATTTAAAATTGGAACAAATCTGATTCATAATGGACATAAACATCTTTGAAAGTAATTTAAAATTGGAACAAATCTGATTCATAATGGACATAAACATCTTTGAAAGTAATTTAAAATTGGAACAAATCTGATTCATAATGGACATAAACATCTTTGAAAGTAATTTAAAATTGGAACAAATCTGATTCATAATGGACATAAACATCTTTGAAAGTAATTTAAAATTGGAACAAATCTGATTCATAATGGACATAAACATCTTTGAAAGTAATTTAAAATTGGAACAAATCTGATTCATAATGGACATAAACATCTTTGAAAGTAATTTAAAATTGGAACAAATCTGATTCATAATGGACATAAACATCTTTGAAAGTAATTTAAAATTGGAACAAATCTGATTCATAATGGACATAAACATCTTTGAAAGTAATTTAAAATTGGAACAAATCTGATTCATAATGGACATAAACATCTTTGAAAGTAATTTAAAATTGGAACAAATCTGATTCATAATGGACATAAACATCTTTGAAAGTAATTTAAAATTGGAACAAATCTGATTCATAATGGACATAAACATCTTTGAAAGTAATTTAAAATTGGAACAAATCTGATTCATAATGGACATAAACATCTTTGAAAGTAATTTAAAATTGGAACAAATCTGATTCATAATGGACATAAACATCTTTGAAAGTAATTTAAAATTGGAACAAATCTGATTCATAATGGACATAAACATCTTTGAAAGTAATTTAAAATTGGAACAAATCTGATTCATAATGGACATAAACATCTTTGAAAGTAATTTAAAATTGGAACAAATCTGATTCATAATGGACATAAACATCTTTGAAAGTAATTTAAAATTGGAACAAATCTGATTCATAATGGACATAAACATCTTTGAAAGTAATTTAAAATTGGAACAAATCTGATTCATAATGGACATAAACATCTTTGAAAGTAATTTAAAATTGGAACAAATCTGATTCATAATGGACATAAACATCTTTGAAAGTAATTTAAAATTGGAACAAATCTGATTCATAATGGACATAAACATCTTTGAAAGTAATTTAAAATTGGAACAAATCTGATTCATAATGGACATAAACATCTTTGAAAGTAATTTAAAATTGGAACAAATCTGATTCATAATGGACATAAACATCTTTGAAAGTAATTTAAAATTGGAACAAATCTGATTCATAATGGACATAAACATCTTTGAAAGTAATTTAAAATTGGAACAAATCTGATTCATAATGGACATAAACATCTTTGAAAGTAATTTAAAATTGGAACAAATCTGATTCAT